CCCGGGCAGCCTGTCTCCCAGGCTGGCCCGGCGCCCCTCGCCCCGCAGGATACTCTTCGCCCCGCGACCACCACTGCGCCCCCCACCCGCGCCCTTCCTCAGCGCTCGGGCAGCTCGCGCGCCCCCAGGCCCCCCGAGCGCCCAGGCCGCCTCCGCACCCCTCCCCAGGCCCAGCACCTCCACTGCGCCCCCGAAGCTTCCGCCTGGCGCCGGCGCCTCCCCCGCCCCCCGTCCTTCCGCACCCCTGCGCCCCGCCCCGCTCCTCCCCCGCGCTCGGGCAGCTGCAGCGCCAAGTCCCCGCCGCGCCCAGGCCGCCTCCGCGCCGCCCGGCCCCTGCGCCCCGGCACCTGCGGCGCTCCGGCAGCCTCTCCCCGGGCCGGCGCCCCTGCCCTGAGCCCACCGCGCGTCCCCGGCGCCCCAGCGCCTCGGCCCGGCCGGCTGGGCTGCGCTCCGGAAGCCCGCCCCGGCCCCCGCTCTGCCGCCCCGGGCGCTGGTCCACGCGACCGCCGCAGCCCCGCGCCAGGCCGGCGCCGCCTCGTGCCCGGCCCCTGGCGCCCCGGAAGGAGAGCCGGGAGGGGGCAGCGGCCGCCGGGCATCTTCGCCCCGCCCCGGCCCCCCGACCCCTCCCCGCCCAATCCAGGAGTCTGCGGCGTCTCCGCTCGGACATCTCACCTTTAACCCGCCAGCCCCAAAGTAAACGTTTGCAGTGGCCTCCCGGGCCGGGCCCAAGGCCGGCGCGCTGCCCGGGCAGAGGCCACGCTGGAAACGTGATCTTACTGAACGAACGCTCAGTGAGCGAAGGAAAGGGGCATGGAAGCGTGCACGGTGCGTGTACGCAGGAGAGACTAACTGAAAATCAATGAGTGAGTGATGGAGTGATGGGCACCTCGGCTGCTGAATACGTGCGTCAGGGAGGGAGAGAATTATGAGTGAACGACTGGAGTAGATAAACGAGGGAATACATTTATGAATGAATGCATGCCTGAGCGAGTGAATTAATGAATGTGTGAATGCAGGAGTGGACGAATGGAATGAATGAATGCACGTGTGAGTGCATGCCCGCATGAGTGGACGAGTCGCCATCTGAACCCTGTGACCACGGCGGGTTGTAGAGAAGGAGAGAGGAGTGGGCCAGATGCTGTCCTCAAGGAGGGTGCAGCCACTGGCTGGGGCCATAGGAGCGCGTAAGCACCAGGGGCCCGAGAAACCAGGCGGTATCTCAGGAATTCTCCCACCTGGTGGACCTTGCCCATCCAGCACGTTGTCATGTCCTGCGGGATCAAGGGTCCAGGGAACACGGATCGACAGAAGGAATGGACATTCCTGAGTAACGGGGCTTCCTGCTCTGAAAATGTCACCTGGGGTTTGGGTGGAAGGCGTCCCAGGGGGGGCCATCTCTCCACTACACCAACTATAGCCCCAGCAGGCCTCGCCCCCCCCCCCCCCCCCCCCCCCCGCCCCGTGTTGCTTCTCCCCCATCTGTGCAAAGTCAACATAGTTTTAACAAAGACAAAGGAGTTCTTCCCACGCGGATGTCCTGATCTCGGGGAACCCGCCCCCTCAGGGTTCCACACTTCACACTTTGGGAACCGGTACAATTTAAGCTCAAGAAGCGACAGAAAAAATCTTAAGAGGACATAGCCGATGCTAAACCTCGTTAGCGATCAACGCAGTAAGGCGTGGATGTCACCCATCGCCCAGCAGACTGGGATATCTGTCTGGGCTTTTAACTGTATTTCATGCCCCATGGGGAACAGGGGGCTTTGCAGGCTTAAAAGCCATCGGGGCTCACTTGCCTTGGAATAAGAAGGGGATTCCCCTCGCCATGTGGGGAGACAGATGAGGCAAGAGCCCAGAGCCTCAGGGCATCTGTCCACAGACACAGCACCGTGGATGGATAGCCATCAGCCTCGAGGAACAGATGCCGCAGTTGTTTTCAGCATCCCGTCACGGAAGGGCTCAGAGCTATCTCAGAAATCGCATCCAGGTGACAGAGCTGGGCCAGGCTGGCTGGAAAACGCTAGGGCAGGACCCCACCTCATCATGCTGTCTGCAGAATGCAGATCTCGTATGCGATGAAAGTGTGGCTGATGTCGCTAAGCAGGAAAAGGGCACGGACCCCTCTGCCCGCCCCCTGGGCACTATGTGCACGTACTTATTATCGGGGTGCTGCAAGATGTCTGCGGGACTTCCTGAGCCTCTAGAAGTCTCCCTGAAATCCCTGCAGCTTCTGAACCATTGGTGGAAGCATCAGGATCTGAGTAACAACCAGGGGAAGACTCTTCCTGCAGTCAGTGCTGGTTTGGGTTTGGTTTTGTTTTTTTCCTTAACCGTTTTTTAAAATTGAAGTATAGTTAATTTACAACGTTGTGTTACTTTCTAGTAGACAGCAAAGTGATTCAGTTATATGTATATTCTTTTCAAAATTCTTTTCCATTATAGAAAAGAATCTATTGCTTTTTAATAAAAGATTAATACAAAGAATCTACTTCCGTTTATTTTCCATCTTGTTATAACAGGATACTGAGTATATAGCTCCTTGTGCTACACAGTAGGTCCTTGTTCATCTGTTCTGTGTACAGTAGTTTGTACCTGTTAATCCCGTACTCCTAATTTATCCCTGCCCCATCCCTTTCCCCTCTGGGAACCCTAAGTCTGTTTTCTACATCTGTGACTCTGTTTCTGTCTTGTACACGAGTTCATTTGTATCATTTTTGTAGATTCCACATGTAAGTGACATCAAATGATATTTGTCTTTCTCTGACTTACTTAATATGACAGTGCTGGGTTTCTGTCCCCTGCCAGCCAACCTGAAAGAGGCTCAGGTGCTTCTGACGCAGCCGGACAGTCTCAGGAAGGGTCCGTTCTGAGCCCCGAGGTCTCCTCAGCCCCCAGCGGCCCCCTGGCTTCCAGAGGAAGGGGACGGTTTCCCAGCCTCTGTGCTTGTCTGACAGTTGTCTCCAGTGTTTGCCAAGTGTCCCCACTCATCCGTGCCACAGGGTCATTCCCTTTGGTCCCATTCTGGCCTCTTTCTGCCCCAGGGGTGCAGTGCTCCTGTGTGACGCTGGGGATATGGGAAAAAGGACCCGCCAGAGCGTTCCGACAACAAGAGGTCCCCTTTGAAATGTCCCAGACAGCGTCTGCGTCCTTCAGTCCACAGTGCGGGGTGGTGAGATTCTAAAATTTTCCCTTTGCCCTGGGTTAGAAGTTACCTGCCAACAGGATTTCCACCTCAGGACCAGGGACGTTCAGAAGGGGGTGACTCTCGGATGTGGGGTGTCCTGTGCACTGGGGTTGTGGAGCAGCATCCCTGGTACCCACACCCCACAAAGCGAAGCCAAGTACGACTCCACACATCACCAACTGTGCCCCTGGGGAGAGAGCCATGCAGGGTTTCAAACTACAATCGCAGATAGATCATGATAGACAGATAGATAGATAGATAAATCATAGATAGACAGATAGAGATACATAGATGATAGATCTAGCAGGTAAATGATAATAGAATTATAATAGATAATAGATAGGTAGATGATAGATCCAAAGATAGAAAGATAGATAGATAGATAGCAAAGACCAAAGTCTTTGCTGTCATGGGCACGTCCTGTGCCCTGTGGGGGGCGGAGCAGCCTCCCTGCTCTCCACCCATCAGATACCAGTAGCTCTTCCCAGCTGTGACAGTAAAAGCGTCCCTAGGCATCGCCAAGTGTCTCTGGGGGAGTACAATTGTCTCTGGTTGCGAACTACAGCCAGAGAGAGAGGGAGAAAGAGAGATGATGGAAGATGATTGACATGTGGATAGATTGACAGGATAGATACACAGATAGATGATAGATAATAGATAGGTTAATTACAATTATATAGATAACAGAGAGAGGTTGATTGATAAAGAGAAGATAGAATCTCTGATGCTAAGTCAGCGTGTCTCAACCTCAGCACTACTGACATTTGGGGCTGGGTGACTCTGATGTGAGGCGTCCTGTGCCCTGTGGGGTGTGAAGCAAGCATCCCAGGTCTCCACCCGCCAGGTGCCAGGAGCACCCCCTCCCCACTTGTGACAGCTTGACAATTGTGTCTCTGTTTTGACGCCAGCTGAGAGAAGGAGGGGATTTCTTTGGCCCAGAGGGGAAGAGAGGGTTAACAAGCTACAGTCCAGGTTGGGGGAGGGGGCGTGGATCACGGCACGTCCTTGCCGGGTTGGGGAGAAAATGAGCACCTTCAAGGCCAAATTGAAACCCAGACACTGCGCAGGCGGATTCCTTCAACCCCATCCCTAAACGCACCATTTCATTATGCTTTCCCGCTGGTAAAGAATCCTAGGAATTCCGAATTCTACCCAAGCCCCAGGAGGACGGGAAATAACGCCAGGCGGTTGATACACTTGGGAAAAGTAAGCAGCGCCTCCCACCCACCCACCCACCCAAGCTGGTCCCCCCCAGGCTGTGTTTCACTCCGAGCTCTCCCCCCCACCCATCTTTTGCTTCCCTGGGTCAGCCCTGGACCGGCAGCGGTATCAGCATCCCCTGAGAAATTCTGAGAAATGCGCATTCTCAGGTCTCCCGAACATCAGGAAACTGAGTCTCTCATACATACCCTGTGTTAACAAGCCCCCCTGCCCCGCACCATCCACCCTCAAGGTTGACAACCGTAGTTCTGATTGCTGACATTTGGGCTTTATGGGAGGGACCGGTGGCAGCCTGAGGGGCTAGAGAGGGTGGGAAGGAAGTTGCACCCAGACAGGAGCTGGGGGGAACTGCAGAGATGTTTAAAGAGAAGACTCAGGACGCCCGAGCAGGTTGCCTCGCCTCCCAGCACCCAGTTCCGTAGACGCGCCCCCAGCCCCTGCCCCCACACTCGCCCACCCGGTCCTTCCAGCTCTGCCTTGGAGGCCGGAAAGCAGGGCAGAGGGCCGTCAGCCACAGGCAGTCCTCCCAGATCCCTGGGCAAAGGTTAGGTCCATTTTGAAACCCAGAGCAGGCATCCTGCCGTGGGCGCTGCCGGGTGCCTCTGGGGGAGGGGGAGGGTCTCCAGGAAGCCAGGAGGGTGGGCACCTGGTGAGCCGTGGGCGCCGTCAGCGGAAGGCGGTCTCTTCTCGGGGTGCCGCACGAAGGAGGTTTGCCCGCGGCGAAGGTGACCCTGCCTTCTCCCCAGGAGCCGTTCAGAGAAATTGAGTCTTTCGTTGGTACGTCGGTTGCAACATTGTTGGAAAGTTACAGGGCGCTGTGGCGGACATAGTTCAAGCCCAGGAGCCAGAAGAGGATGCCAGCCAACTGCGTCACTTGCCACGTTTTTGTGACAAAGATCCTGTGAATTACCTTGAAAGATAAGTGAGAGGAGGAGAGAAAAAAAGTCTGCAGTATGTATACGTCCATGTATGTGTGCGTCCCAGCTGCAATGATAGATCCGTTTGTGTATCTTTTTTAATTTTTTGGCCACGCGGCATGTGGGATCTTAGTTCCCCAGCCAGGGATGGAACCCACGCCCCCTGTATTGGAAGGGCGCAGTCTTAACCACTGGACTGCCAGGGAAGTCCTTATATATCTGTATTTTATCTGTACACATTAACCTAGCAAGATATAAAGGACCACAACTGCAAGAAAACAGGAAGCGAAGCATTTACGTCACATGCTACTGGTAACCACTCAACCGCCATTTATTTTTCTGTTATTTGTTTTTAACAGAACTGGATTGGGACGCGTAAATCCAGGATATATGCGTTCCAATTTCAGCGAGGGGCTGTGTGGCCCATTGTGTGTGAGCGAGGAAGGAGGCGGGGTCAGCTGCTGGCTTCTGGAAAGAGGGCTTCACTCTCAAAAGAGGAAATGCCCTTAATTGGGCGTGCAGGTATTAGTGGGCGGGGCTGTGATGGCTGGAGCTACAGAGCCGTTTTCTGCCAGGAGTGAAACTGGTTAATGCCCGGTGAACCATGAGAGAACACCATTAAATCCTCAAATGATCCCCAACCCAGACGCCCTAAACCTCAATAAGTCCCCTTACAAGATACTGTCTTTTATAGTGTTAGATGGCCTTTCTGCTACTTCAGCATAAAAGCATCCTAATTTATACCACATGGCAGAAATCCTCAAGCAGTTTGGTCACTGGATTCCCGACACTCTGAAAGACTAGTGCGAAAACCAAAGAACTTTTGCTTATGTAGGTTTTAAAGAAACATATTTTCTGTATTAGAAATTAAAACTGAAAATGTTAGATATTTATCTATAAATGTTTTCTATATTCAAATTTAAAACGGAAATTTTTACATATTTATTTATAAGTATCCATATTTTCTGTATTAGAAATTAAAACTGAATTTTTTTTTTTTTTTTTTTTTTTTTGCGGTACCCGGGCCTCTCACTGCTGTGGCCTCTCCCGTTGCGGAGCACAGGCTCCAGACGCGCAGGCCCAGCAGCCATGGCTCACGGGCCCAGCCGCTCCGCGGCATGTGGGATCTTCCCGGACCGGGGCACGAACCCGTGTCCCCTGCATCGGCAGGCGGACTCCCAACCACTGCGCCACCAGGGAAGCCCCTAAAACTGAAAATTTTTGATATTTATTCATTTAATAAGTTTAAAGATAAGAATGATAAACCCATTCCATTTTGTATAAATAAAATATTTTTACAGAAAAATAAATTTATTTTCCCAAACAAAAACTGGGGGAGACGGAAAGAGTAGCATTAATTTACACATTTGTACATCTCTTTCCTATCTCGCTTAATAGAAGATGTCTGATTTCTCATATTTACTTCTACATTTGTTCTGTTGCAATAATAGTTTAGGTTGAAATGGGTAAAGAAAATCTGGCCTCCCCCAGATGGGTAGTTAGAAAAGAGAGGAATATCTTAATAGGGTTTTCACACAATTGACATTCTTCTTTGATGCCACACCAAAACTTGAAAATTGGTAGTTTCTTTAAGGTTCCATGATTTCAGCATGGAATCTGGATACCAATCAATGAATTCTGTACTCTATAAAGTTAGAATCCACAGCTTTATCTTGAACTTCAGATGGATCCTTTATCCACTTAGGATCTTGCAATATCATGCATGGGTCATCTGGAGGTGTTCCAAATGTTGGCGCATTTTATTTCATAATATATATTTTAAAACCTCACATTTGTTCATATCTCTATTAATCTCATCACATAAAGGTCTTTAGCTAGAATAACAAGAGGAAACACCTCCCTGTAATGTGAAGTTTGTGGCCTAAATAAGAAATTCTGGACTTCACTGGTGGCGCAGTGGTTGAGATGCAGGGGACACGGGTTCGAGCCCCGGCCCGGGAAGATCCCCCATGCCACGGAGCAACTAAGCCCGTGCGTCACAACTACTGAGCCTGTGCTCTAGAGCCTGCGAGCCACAACTACTGAGTCTGCGTGCTGCAACTACTGAAGCCCGCGACCCTAGAGCCCCGGCTCTGCAACAAGAGAAGCCACTGCAGTGAGAAGCCTGCGCACCTCAATGAAGAGCAGCCCCCGCTCGCCGCAACCAGAGAAAGCCCCGCATACCGCAATGAAGACCCAATGCAGCCAAAAATAAAATACTTTTTTTTAAAAAAAGAAATTCTGCTATGGACTGAATGTGTGTGTCCCCCAAAATCTACATGTTGAAGCCCTGACCCCCAATGGGATGTGTTAGGAGATGGGCCCCTGGGTAGGTTTGAATGAAGTCATGGGGTTGGGGCCCCCATGATGGCGTTAGCGTCCTTAGAAGAAGAAAAAGAGGCACCAGAGCTCTCTCCCCACCATGTGAGGACACAGTAAGAAGGCAGCCGTCTATAAATCTGGAAGAGAGCCTCACCGGGAACTAATCTGCCCACCCGGTGATCTCAGACTACCAGCCTCCAGAATCGCGAAAAACAAACATCTGTTGTTGAATCCCTGCAGTCTGTGCTGTTCTATTATGGGAGCCTGAGCTGAGACAGATTCATTCATTCTTCCAAGTGTTGACTGAATAAATAGTTATTGAGCACCTACTGCATGCCAGTCACTGCTCTAGTAGTTACGGACACACCCATGCTTTTACAGATGTACCTTATGGGGGCAGGAGGGAGGGGAAAAGCCCAGGCAATAAACAATAAAAAGTTATAGTGCATAAGATGTGGGCAGTGGATACAAGATTAGAGAACAAAGGTTTGGGCAGAGGAGGTGGGTGAGGGAATGCACAGGGTCGGGGAAAGGGCTGGGACTGCAATGGTCCCATCTCGCTAACTAACTCCCCTTTGGTCTACAGCCACAGGTGAGCGTGTCAGCTTTTGCCCCCAGCCCTCCACCCCAGGGGCAAAATGTTCCATGTTTGTCAGGTCCAAGTGCTGTTTTTATTTTCAGTTGAGGGGAGTTTGGAACGTCGTCTGTGCTTCCACAGACCATTTATCCATCCCCAGCTATTCATAGAGGAGCAGTTATGTTGGACGCATGCCAGTGTGAGAAGGGGTGTCCACGATGCAGAGGGAGATAGCTGCAAGGCACAGATGTGCACTGCATTTATATTTGGAACTGCGGGGGACATGCCTCCATTAGGAAGATGGGACTGGGGCAGAGGCCAACCCACATCACCGAAGCCCTTTAGTGTCAGGAACCAGAATAGTACGTGGTGGGAAACCAGACGAGCTAATTCTAATCCCTTATGGGTCTGACCTGCAAATAAGGGTTCACAGGATGGGGCTGGCCCATGAACGCCTTGACCCTCTTTCTTTCTTTCCCAGGAAATCTCACGAGCCTTTCACCAACAGGCTCAGACAGAAGTTGTGTTAGAAGACGTTGGATTTCTAAAGAAAGCAGAATAGGCAGTCAATAACCCCACCAAGACTTACATTTACGTTAAAAACAGCATAGCAGATGGTGACCTTTTCCATGGGACATCCAATGGGAGTCTCTGATTCCCTAGTGTGCATGGGCTATAGCAATTTGCAAGGTATTGATGATTACCCATTTTTTTTTAACCGTGATTTTTAAAAGTGTTAAACTAATTTTAAAGCCATTTCACAAATTACAATGGCTCGACAAGTAATTGAGCACTCTGGGGGAGACTTCTTTTGTAAATCTCCTGAATTCTAGAGTTACTACGTTGACCCTGGAGGGTGCATGGTGGGGACTACAATACACTATACCTGCCCCGTCAACCCTGGAACTAGTTATACCTTTACTAACAATTTACTGTCAACGACACCCATGTGTATGTGTACATGTGTAAAATAGTTAACGTATCTTAAAAGTTAGGTTTTTTTTCATGTCTTCCTACTAAAATAGAACATATGTATATGTCGTTGACGCTACTATTACTCAAACTGGCACTCGGTGTTTCTAATCAGAACATCAGTTATTTTGTTCACTTTCTAGATTGCTACTCTTTGATAGATTTAACATCGGCTTGATGATCTAATAAATCATTCTGTCTGCCAAATTGAAAATGTTTATTTCTTTCAATTGATTTATTTTTTTAAATGTTATATAATTAAGGTTTTTGTGTCATTTCTTCTTTTTTTAATATTCTTTTTCATATTCTTTCCATGATGGTTTATCCCAGGATATTGAATATAGTTCCCTGTGCTCTGCAGTAGGACCTTGCTGTTTATCCATCCTCTATATATAATAGTTTGCATCTGCTAATCCCAAACTCCCAATCCTTCCCTCCCCCATCCCCCCCCCTTGGCAACCACAAGTCTGTTCTCTATGTCTGTGAGTCTCTTTCTGTTCCATAGTTAAGTTCATTTGTGTCATAGAAAATGTTTATTTGTAAAAATAAAATGGAACTCGGTTTAACTGAATTAATTAATATAAAATGACTACGGGCTTTTGCAGTGTCAGAAGACTCTAATTTTATAAGATTCTTGGGGATATATGAGTTGGAGGACCGCCTCTGTTTTGGGAAATTTTCATTAGTAAATTTAGTGAAAACTAATATCCAATACTTCCTCTTTTGTTTACTGAATTTTGAAATTGTTGTGCAGGTTGTTTTAAAAGATTTTTAAGACTATAGACCTAAGAATAATATATTGGAAAAAAATGAAATTTCTGCAGCTCTAAGGCTCAACTCCCCTTAAGTAAAACATATTTCTATTTTTACAGAATATATATACACATCTTCTCCCTTTACAGAAAAGTCATCAGAATCACAAGACAACACATGGAATTCTACATCTCATTAATTCTTTTCTCCTCGGGTCCAAGGTCTCGTCTGCATGGAAAAGTTATCACATGGAATAAAATCCATGCACCATACAGTATCCCTTCTGCACAGACCAAAGCCCTGAACACTTTCAGGGGGCCGCCCGGGCAAAATGTGAAATGTAATTCTCTCATGGGCCGGAAGACAGCAGCCTCTGATGGGCTCAAAAAGCAATTATCACCTAGACCCAAATCCTCGCAAAGCTGTAGAATCTCTCACTTTACCCGTCTGCAGGGTAACTACCCACCCTGTGTTTTGAACCAAGAGACCAAGAGATGGGAAAGGGGCCATTTCTGCGTGAGCTCTGAGTAGATGCACTGTCGGCGTGTCGGGGTCACCTACACAACAGGCAGAGAACAGATCTCCGGACAACAACCGGACCTGGATTCATGGATGGTCCCTCCACAGAATTCCTAACCACAGGAGTTTGGAGGACCCCAAGAAGCAACAAAAACCATCCCCTGGTAATAAAACAGGCAAAGTGCTGAAAAAGTCATATGAAGAGATAATAATACTTTGAAAGTACTGAGACAGGCTGGGACCCGGGACCCTTTGCTGCAGGGCTTGTGCCCGGACAGAGATCTCTTGGAGTAGCAACACACAGAGAAAATGTACGGGACTAAAAATAACCGCGTGCATGCGCAGTTGGGGCAAATGATGAAAAATAAGATACAAAGAGACCAAAAAGCCCACCTGCCACTTCTGAAGAGCGTGGAGCGAAAGCAGGGTCCTGTGCATGCCCCCTGCACTCAACACCACCTAAGGGGTGGGCAGCCCACCTAAGCCTCCCCTCCAGCCCGACCCCTGGACCCACCCGTACCCTCAGCCCACTTAAGGAACAAGCTTGCCCCCGCCAGGGAGCGAGCAAACAAGGGAACTTGTTATTTGTTCTCACTCCCCCCCACCCCCGCCCCGCGCTGCAGCAGGGGCCCCGATAAAGCCTGGCGTGAATTTCTTGTCTGGCCTCTGATCAATTTCTATTGCTTAAGGAGGCCAAGAACCCTAACTGGTAACAGTACCACCTGCTCTGGGGGCCAAGGTGAAAGCTGCCAGGGCTGGAGATGTGATGTACGCCAAGGGTGTGTCCCCAAAATGTGAAGATGCAAGAAATACATCGTTAACATAGAAGGCGGCTCCAAAGAAAAGTTTGCCCCATCAGAATGGTGGGTTTCAGGAACCACAAGGGCTTTCGTCTGCCCGGTTTCAGCCTCATCGTCATCGTAAGAAACAGGATCAGAAGACAGTTTTCTGCTCTTTCTACCAAAGCAGGCAGCTTTCCAGAGCTCATGTCCCCTCGTGAGTTTACGAGTGAAAAGAGGAATCATTTTCTCAGAAACGGCGGCTGAACCGTCGGTTTTTTAAGGCTGGTGATTAGCTCCTGATGACTTGCTTTACTGTGGTTCTCACTATCTGAGTGGGCTTAATTGGAAAGAAAAAAAAAAATTCAAGCCCCCTGTGAAAATGGATTAACGTGTCCTGAAAAGGTTGATGGGTTCAGAGCAAGAATTCGAGGAGAGAATTACATGGTTGGTTGCTGCTTTTAGAATTTGCGTTCTGAAGAGCTGTTGAAAACCAGCAGAACTCATCTGTACCTGCCCGAGGCTCGCGGTTTTACAGATGGGGATCCGAAGTCTGTCACCTGCATCACGAGACATTTCAACGTGACACTTGTCAATGAATGAAAAGAAAGATCGGTGAGATTTAAGAATGACTATCTCAGGTTAACACAGCCCGAAAAGTAACAGAGGGTTTGGATGAATGTGTCCACCTTTGGGGGAGCATAAATCCGCTTTCGTAAGAAACCAGAGGGTGCAAAGAAAGAGTGAATTCAATAAACAAACAAAATGTTAGAAAACATTTGCTGAAGGTAGAAATGATTCTACTACAGATGATGGCTCCTTGCATTTGAAATGCGTGAGATGTTGGAGACCTTCTCGAACGCGAATCACAAGGAGTTTCGAAGAAACTGATTGATGAGCTCAGATAAAGGAGTCGTCCAAATGTCTGCAAGAAAAAGCCACCAAATCTACACTAAATTATCTGAAAGAAGATAAAAGAAGAGATGCACACGCAGATCCTATTAAACGGTCTCACAAATGAACAAGCTTCACCGCCGTCAGGAGCAAACATCATTTGAAAGTCAGATTCTATGACGTCAGTAGAAACATACGGTCACTGAGTGAGCTGCACTCCCCCAGATACATATATGTGTGTAGAAAATGAACTATCACAGAATATTAAATTTATAGTGAATGTGCCATGGAAAGAAAGAAGAAAATCTTGCCAAGGCCACTGAAATGATCATCTTTGCATGTGGAGTGCTGGATGCCTACGGAATCCAAGCAAAAAACGCTTCCGGAAGAAAATGTCAGAAAGAGCTTTTTTTTCCCCCAGCTTCACTGAGATAATAATTGACACGTAGCATTGCGCAAGTTTAAGGTGTACATTGTGATATATACAATAAGGTGTACACTGTGTATACACTGCAATAGCATTTCCATCCCAGCCTTGGCTAACACCTCCATCCTGTCACATAATTACCATTTCTTTCTGTGGTTAGAATAAAGTCTACTCTCTTAAAAACTTTCACGTATAGAATACAGTATTGTTAACTAGAGTCACCATGCTGTACATTCGATCCCCAGAACTTAAAGCCTTAAAGAGAGGCTTCCCGAGAGAGCATTATTCACATACTTTAATTTAAACGACATTGAACACTAACCATATTTTCCTCTTGTCATCGGGGTGACGTTTATCCCGCTGTTCTCCAACTATACGTTTCTTTATGTGTTCATAATCCATCTTCTTCCACAGGGTACTGAGGGCACCATTTCTTCCTTTGGAAGGTGACAGATGCCCCTCTGGTTCTCAAACAACTGCTGGGTCCATCGGAGCTGGTGGCGGGGTGGGGGGGTGGGGGGCGACCATCTCAGCCATAACCCTCCAAGGCCATGCGCCCAAAGGATGCACAACGGAGTAGAAAGGGCTTTCCTGGATGCATGCAGAGCTACGTAGCTTCATGACTTTTTGACCCTTTCACCGCTGTCTCATGGTTATACGTGCAAAATATAGAAAAGAGAACACAACCAACAAGGCCGATTTTTTTTTCTCTTACATGTATTTTAAATGATGAAAAGTTGCCCATGACAGTTACAGAAAATGGATGGAGTTACCTTTCAAAATGCTTAAGTTCCATTTAGGTACATCTGTGTGTAAATCTGTGTGTGTACATACACACACTTTTGAACACGAGTTAAATTAAACTCCCCGCTAAAACTCAGATATGGGACATGTTTAGCGGGCATCCTCACTTATGGGGAAGCTTAACAAGATTTGGGAAGAGTCCTAGGACATCCCTATTAAAATAGGAAATACAGGCTGTCTTCAAATGGCTCAAATCTTTGTAAATCCAGGACGGGAAGGCATGCAATTCTGAGACGTCTAATCAGGATCTTTAGTTTTAAGTTCTTTTCCATTTTGGGGAAGCTCTTTCAAACGCTTTCTGCTTTCAACTTCTCTTTGGAGACCCAGCTCTCAATCCTTAAGGGTGAGCTCAAGGCATGCATATTTGGAATGTTAATGTGTCCTCTTTATGAGATCCAGATTCTAGCGGACTGGCTTCCTCTTTGGTTCTAATATTTAAACTCTAAAATTCTATCAGCGTTGATCTCAGTTGAATCAAACTATGTTAATCTGCCCAAACCATCCTTTTTCCTCTCCCCTAAAGCATTACTAAAATAGAAGCAAACGGCTAGTATACGTTTGAGATATTTGAGGACAGAAGATCATCTAGTCCAGTAAAAAGAAAAGTATAAACCAAGGAAGGTCATGAAGAACCTAGGGGTAAGACAGGGATAAAGACGCAGACCTACTGGAGAACGGACTTGAGGATATGGGGAGGGGGAGGGGTGAGCTTTGACAGGGCGAGAGAGAGTCATGGACATATACACACTAACAAACATAGTAAGGTAGATAGCTAGGGGGAAGCAGCCGCAAGGCACAGGGATATCGGCTCGGTGCTTTGTGACAGCCTGGAGGGGTGGGATAGGGAGAGTGGGAGGGAGGGAGACGCAAGAGGGAAGACATATGGGAACATATGTATATGTATAACTGAGTCACTTTGTTATAAAGCAGAAACTAACACACCATTGTAAAGCAATTATACCCCAATAAAGATATTTAAAAAAAAAAAAAAAAAAAAACCAAGGAAGGCACTGCCGTCGCCTTAAGAACTGGTACCCACGGAGGATCAAAGACCAAAAAGAATACGAAAAGCCACACCATCTGCAAATCTCTATTTCTATCCCATGTTCTCCAAAAAAATGTAGGAACTGGACTATTTCACAGGAAAAAAACACCCCATGATCACTTCCCCGAGACGGTTTCTACATCAGCGATTTTGCACTTAAATTTCCAAAGCCAGCCTCACCCTCTGCAGGTGACAATACTCTTGGGAGCTGAAATAACGTTCAAATTCCGCCGTGAGTGTCGGGAATCACTCATTCCCGATTCACGGGCGGTGGTGAACAGTTCTGGATTCCTGACATAACTAAGGAACTTACAGCATCAGTCAATCTTCTCACCCCAGCTTGTTGGAAACCCAAACAGCAGTCTGTCTGCATCTTTTAGAAGCCGATGGCATTCCCGCCCTAGACCCCGGTGCCATCCTCCTGCCCCTGTGCTTTGTGACCACGTCGATGGCCTGAGGTCACACCAGGAGGTAGTTTCGGAGCTCATTCCAGAGCTGGAATCTCTGTCCGGATTCACGATGGAACCAACAGATCAAGCAGTCATTTTACAACCCAAGGTCCAGCTGTCTACCTTATGATGATCGATGTGTCTGAGGAATTAGGAATTCTTGGTTAGGTAGCACGTCTATTGCAAACAGGAGAGAAAACCCTTCAGGGCAGCCGCTTAAGCCGAGAAGGAAAGGAACTTTGCACGGGAGTGATGAAGGTGGTTCTTGTCTGGGTGGAGCTTTTCTCAAAGCAAAGGGTGGGTTTTGAAGGCCTCAGATGTTTTCTGGTTCTGTAAGGAAAGATTGGATGCAAGATGTCATAGCCAGGAAAAAAAGAAAAAAACTTCTACGGATTGATCTCAAAGCCCTGCTATCTTTTTTGCTGCTTTCTATTTGTTCAGGATTTCGAACACTTTAGGTGAATCGAGTAACTCTAGCTTTTGGGTGACAACTCATAGTTGTAGAAACCCCTTTGGGGGATGCGGTCGAGTTAGTCTTCATAACCTCTAAACGGGGAGTTGCTATTACGTCCATTTGACGAAATAAAGGCAAAGTATGATGCTCACACGATCCCCTTGAGCGCATGGATCTCTGTCGCCATGTTAGAGGCCCCCATCCCCGTCCCTACAGGATGCACAAGCTCCAGGACTGGGCTGCATACAGACGCACGGGTCGTGCATTGCTCCTAACCCCTGCAGAGCTGGCCAGTGTACGTGCCCGCCATCCTTCGGGAGAGAGTGGGCATTCCCTGGCCCTACTCAGGGATGCTAGCCAGCCAAGCAGCATCAACACCGGACGACAGAGGGAATGTCAAGCTGCCATATTTCTTAGACGGTTTACGGGTTTTGCACCCAGCAAGGATCAGTCCTGCGCACTGTGGGAGGGGTGCCCGAATGATGTCACAGCATGTCTTAACTCTCTGAGCTCGCTAACTTTCACAGAACCGCAGCCAAATTCGGTCCCTTAGTGGACCTGGTGAAGTTATCATTAAAGGATAATTGAGGAAGTAGACAGAAATTTTTTTTTTTTGGAGCGTAGTTGCTTTATAATATGTTGTATTAGTCTCTACTGTACAGCAAAGTAAATCAGCTAGACGTGTATTTTATCTAGTCCCGAAAAAGGCAGGAGAGAGCTTCAAGACAGGACACTGCTTTAACCAAAAAGGGCTTCCGCCTCAGATAAACGGGAAGGGCATGAACCAAAAAGAACAAAAGCTGCCCCTGCTTCAGAAATTCAAATGGGGGGAGGTGAGTGGCCACCAAGTTGTAGCAGGCGCCAAAAAACTCAGGATGTGTCGCAATACTTGAATGGTGTTTTTTTTTAAAAAAATTCATAATGGATGCCCAGAAAAGCCCACCGTGAGCATAGTATCAAAACGTGAAATAAACGTGGGCTCCAGTCTTGCATTTGTATACGATGACTCACTTGCCTCTCGCTGCGGTAAAACTTTACTGACATAAACAGGCAGCAAGCCGGCAGGCTGTAGTTTGCCATGTTGTTATTTTTTAAAAAAAATATGGCACTGAAATAGTATTTATCTTGGTGACTTCGCTCGTTGGGGCTCCCTCCACCCCCTTACGTTTGCGCCTGAGATGATGCCTCACTTTCCTTGCCCATTTTCAGCCCTGAGCTCCCGGGGTCACAAGTGCTTACAGAGTGTGGCCAAAGATGCAAGCGAAATTAATGCACAGTGTCTCTGTAATGCTAAGGCATGTTGCCCAGAAAGTAACGTTGTTCTTCATAATCTGTTTCCCCCCACCCGCCCCGCAAACTTTCAGGGTCCGGGGTTATGTACACCAAGGCTCGCCCCGGCCAGGGGGTTGCTCAGTACCACCCACCCACCAGCAGAGGGAGGCCAAGGGTAGGTTTTGGGATTTTGAAGTCGCCCAAATCCTTAAAAAAATACTCCTGGAATAGGCTTTTGTTTCATAGCTTCCTTCCTGGAGGTGGAGGCCCCCTGGCAAAACACAGACAGATTCAGACATGGTTGGTCTGAGGACCAAACCTTGGGAGACCCCGAGTTAACATCTGAGCTGTTGTTTCTGCAATAAAGCATTCCCCTCTCCACCCACCCCCTGCCCATCTTCCCTTTAGCGATGCCTTTAGGGCTTTCATGATTCAGCAGACAGGATCTCTGCTCCCAAGGACGGCTACCCACCCGTCCTTGGGCGTTTAAGTCTTCAAACCCGGAAGCCTGGACCCAAAGGTGAAGCAGAAAGTCCCAGCACGCCCCCAGCCCTGGCCCCAACCCATTTCCCTGGGGTCTGTGCACCTTTCGACAGAAAGGTTTGCAATTTAGTCCTTCTGTGGTTTTCTTTTGGGAGAAGGGTCCAAACACTGCAGACTCCACCCAAATATCTTTGCAGACTCCCTTGTGATTGAAAGTTCACTGAAAACAAAAGCAAGTTACTTATGTAAGGTCTGTGGCAATGAAACCAAATCTTACAGATGAGAAAACCTTTTCAAAAGCATCTCTCAAGTCCCCGTGTGTCCGTAATAAAGGCCCAGCTTTAAAATCCCTTCATTATGCAAGGGGGTCTACATTGGACTGTATCAGAAATAACATTACCAGCGGAGGACCCCAGAAAGTATTTTTTAATTCAAAATATGTTATCATTTATTGAGTGTGGCACTTGAACACAGCTCACGCAGATGCATCGCGGGTGACTGCTTTCAACTCTATTTGCAATATTTTTAAGCACATTGCCTTGTTAAACAAAAGCAGACAGAAAACCTTTTACTCATGAAATCAAAGTACGTATTTTGCATGAACTTTTTTGATAGCTTGTATTCAATAGGATTTATTTAGCCTTTCATTACGTAAGTTAAATAAATTAACTAACATATATTTGTCAAATAATTTTATAACATAATATAGCCAATATTCCGTAATACCTGTAAATGGAGTATAACTCTTAAAACTTGTGAAACACTATATTGTACACCTGTAACATATAATACTGTACAGCAAATATACTTCAATTTAAAAAAATGTATAACAAGAAGAGATCTTAAAAGCCATCATTTAGGTGTGGTTTCAAATCAGCTCTAAAGGCCTATATTAAAAAAAACAAAACAAAACTACTTTAAGGACTTTTTGAAAAGTAATCAATTCTAAATAAAATAAAACATTTTTCATCTTAAGAACAAATTTCCTAGGTACATATGATTCGTGGGAAGATGTGCCAGTGCGTCTATTGGACCTAAGTTGCTTTGGCTGTTATTTTATTAAAGTAATTTTTTAAGTGAAATATAGTCGATGTACAATATTATATTAGTTTCATGCATGCAACAGAGCGATTCAACATTTTTATAGATTGTATTCCATTAAAGTTATTCTAAAATATTGGCTCTATTCCCTGTGCTGTACAACATATCCTTGTTGCTTATTTATTTTATACACAGCAGTTTGTATCCCTTAATCTCTTTGCCCCATCTTGCCCCTCCCCCCTTCCCTCTCCCCACTGGGACCCGCTAGTTTGTTCTCTGTATCTGTGAGTCTGCTTCTGTTTTGTTACATTTATTCATATACTTATCAGGCTTTACACTTAGGGAAGATAAAATTGGGAGGGAAACTTGCCATTTGTCCTGCAACAATTCCTCTTCCTGTTGTACCGGAAATAGCTGGTCGTTGCCCCCACCAGGGTCACCAGCACCCCGCACAGGATAGGAGACACGATTTTTGCTATCCTGTTGCCTGCGGGAACCCAGAAAAGTAAGATGGACTGTGAAAAAACACAGCCAGCCTGAACGCCTGGTTGTAAATAACTCTGCAATCACATCCCCGGCCCTCCCCACCCTCCTATTCACGGGGAGATGATGGAATTCACACAAGAAGCCCGAGGAAGTGATTCTGCTTTCAGGGGACCTTACCAACCAGTCTTACCAGACTGGGGCATCCAACAGTTTTGCGCAGAAGATAGGCCTGATACGTTTTTTCATGTATTTGTGAATTTGGATGAATCTGTAGCTTTGGGGACATAGAATGTTCACTCATGCAAAAAAATTTTTTTAACCAAAAAGTGCCTGATAGCCCGATCCTCAAATCATGCTGGGGCTCTGAACACAACCATAGAGCAAACATCAATGCTTTAAGGGAAGCTTAGGTATTCCTGCACAAAATCCAAGGTATGGAAGCTTGATGGGACAAAAATCAACACTTCCCCAGAAGAACAAATCGTTGCTTCCAGCTAAAATAACCACCCATGTCCTACATCAGATCCAGGCAAGTGCCTGGCGTGTCGTAGGGGACGGATGAGTGGCCACGCCGTGGATGTGGCTCCCGTGATGCTTGGAAGAGCGTTACCACGGTGCCCAGGGATCTATCCCTCCCTTGTGCTGCTGTCTCAACCCTGTCCCCTGCTGGACCCCGCTTTCCAGGGCTCCCCACCCCCCATGCACACCCTCTACCATGTGACTTGGTGACATGGGAGGTGGGGGGGGTCCGGGTCATCATCCTCAGAATTGGGTCTTCAGCCAATAGAACCGGCAGACATGAAGCTGTGATGCTTCTTATCCTGGTGATGCTCCTCTTTATTCTCTGGTACCGTGTCTGGCTGCCTTGTGGCCCAGCCTGGCCTGGCCTCTTGGATGGATGTGGGCTGGTTTTAGCCCAATTGCGACTCACATAATCATAATCAATGGTGGTTGTTTAAAATCACTATGTTTAGGGGTCTTTTGTTACATAGCAGTGCTAACGGATACACCTCTTTCCTCTCTGCCATCCCATACAAATCAACCAGGTGATATCAACGGTGACTACCAAATGGTCCTCCAGGCTGACCGACCTCTTATCCCCATGTCCACTGTCTCTACAACACCCTCTTTAGTCTGGGAACTAACTGGGTCTTAACACTGATCTCCCTGAGCGTTGCTGGCCCTCTGATCCATGCATCACATAGATATAAATAGGGGCAGGGTTTTTCCCGTGAAGCGTGTATAAAGTGCAGACGAGCCCATGGGGTCGCCTGGCCAGTCACAAGTGTTGCTCCCTGCCCATCACACTCCACACCCTGGCTCCATACACTACAGTTGTTCCCGGGGGTGTACCCAGCCCGACCTAGCACAGCACCTACCTCTCCTGTCCTGGCTGCCTCTCACCCATCCTTTAGACCCGGCCTTGGAGATGGTCCCCTCAAGGAGCATCCTTACCCACCTCCATTCTGCCCCAGTCTAGGATGAGTCCCTCTGTCCTACCATGGACCCCGTGAAACCACGTGTCAGACCTGGATTCTTGCCCTGAGATGCACCCCTCCTGCCCCACCTCCTGCCCACGAGAGCGAAGCATCCATGGACTTCCCCAGAATGTCTGTACACCCAGCAAAGAGCAGTACTGAGACTCCGCATGGGGATAGGGGTTGAAGGCTGGAAAGACACCTCAATACCTTTCTTCTTCCCAAAGCCTTGGGGTCAGCTGGGCGGATTCACTGTCACCCTCCACCCAAATGCCAGATGACCAAGAGGCTGGACCCCATCCTCCCAGTGACACACAACAAAAGCCCACCATCCGGACTCCAGCCCCCACTGCTGGACCTGTGACGGGGCCGGCAGTGCCCTCTGGGGGCTCTCCATGGCTGAATGCCATGACTTCCCCTCTCCTCTCCATTTTGGCTACCGGTCAGTAGTGGTCAATGAAAGGGACACCATTAGTGGCCCAGCGGCAGGTCCACGAACCCCAGCCCTGCTCTCAGAGCTCCGAGGCATCTTGCAGCCTGAGGACTGTCCTCGCCCTCCTTCTCTGACCCCTACAGGATGGACCCCTCCCTGAAGGACAGACATGTGTGTTCAGGAGCTTCCAGACAAACATGGGAACAGTAGGTGCTCCTCCCTGAACACCCTCAGGTTGAAATCATTACACGTCTACCCCACTGCATCCCACAGTGATGTGGAGAGCTCGCTCCTGGGAAAGGTGGGCTGCCCCGCCCCTGTGTGTTACCTTGTGGGTTGCCGTATGACGGGTGGCCATCTCCACCTAGAAGGGGACAAGCACACGGTCATTCATTTATTCGGAAGAGCTGGTCGGGCTGCCTTCTGCTGCCAGCGCCATGAAGTTGATAGGGGACACGGCCAGAGCAGAGCAGACCAAACCTCTGCTCTCACGGAGCTGGCCTCCCAGCGGGCAGGTGGGGACAGACAGAGCTAGGAAGGGGAGATGCAGGCGTTACAGCTAGGGGCGGAGCGGGACCAGTGGAGGTGGAGGGGGCGTGGCTCTCACCGGGCCGGGCCTGGACCCCAACCTGCTACTTCCACCCCTAGCCTCAAGCAAGATCTATAAAGAGGATGCAGACAGCGACACTGTGATTTTAATCAGAAATATATATACGTATTTGGTTTTCCTCCCTAATCCAAACACAGAGCCCCTTGGAATTTCCTAAATGATAGGAATGATAAAGGGGTCTTTTGTGAAGTGACAAAAGAGATAAAGGTGTCTTTTGTTATTCAGAACCACACCTGAGTTTATGTGAATGAGGTGACTTTTGGAAACAGGGCAACCAAGCAGCGATGGGAGGGTCGGGACTTTCAGCCTCACCCCTGTCCTGTGGCCAAGGAGTTTGCATCAGTCAGGCTCACGTGACAGAGCCTCTGTTAAAACCCAGGAGACGGGGTTTGGAGAGCTTCTGAATGAGTGAATTTATCTACACGGTGGAAGGCAGTGCACCCCAACTCTACAAGCTCCTAACTTGGGACCCCTCGCCCTGTGTCTCTTCATGTGCCTGTTTATCTGTGTCGTTTATCATATCCTTTATGTGAAATAAAATGCAGGTTTTATGGCAGGGCAAGAAACATTTAAACATAAGAAATTTTCTCTTCCCTTTGGCCTCCTCTCTCCACCCCTCGCTGTGCATCGTGTACCTGCCTTAGGCATTGGTCGGACCTCCCCCATCGGTAGGAACATCTGCTCAACCAAACAGCAGCATTCTCCCAGCGCCAGCAAGACGACTCCTAACAAGGTAACCTTCCTTCTCCATCTTGTAAGGGGCCACAGTGACGCTTAGATTGTGTAACCTGTCACTAGTACACGCTGTGAGGTCCAGCCCTGTCTCAAAAAACTTAACAGAAGTGGGCCTTGACATCTAAACGGGGCGGAACAGCTCTCAGACTTTTCTGAGATGCTCTACCCGGGTTATCACCCTCAAATCTGGCTCGGATACACTTTTCCATGAGATCCCACATGACCCGTGGCCAATAATAATTAATAATAATAATGCTAATGATAAAAGGGTGTCTCCTGAAACACCTTGGAACAGAGAACAGCTTTGTGAGAACCCCTTAGGAACATCTTGCTGGATGCTGTCAGTCAAAGAACACAGCCTTTTGGAGGCGGGGCCGTTAGACCTTTCAAGCCAACAACACAGTGGAGGGTATATGTGTCCTGACGCAGGGGTTTAGGGGTGAGCCCTCCGTCGCCGAAGTTAGCTAAGGCATTGCTCATGCAACTGATCTTTACAGGACCTACTGTGTGCCATGTCTGGCTTCTGGCTCTGGGGATGCATCGGTGGAGGAAAGGCAAAAATCCCTGCGTGCGTGCGTGTGTGTGTGTGTGTACTTTTCATTCTAACTCAAGGAAATAAGTTGAGCACAATTGCATGGCATTGCGTGTTACAAAGTATAACCTGATCTCCTGCTGCAGTGCAAAGGGATACACAGAAAGGATCACAGTTTAGGATCTAGAGGTCAGGTCTTGGAGACAGACATGCCCCCCACCCCAAGCTGAAACCTGCAGGGGAGAAATGATGCTTGGATCTCTCTGAAGGTTGTCAGGTTGGGCGTAAGCAACGGTGTTTTGCACCCTAGGAATTCAACGTTCGAATAATATCTCAAGAGAAACGGAAACAGGGGAACTCCCCGTTGCCAAACCAGCTGGAAATGAGGATACTCGTAGAGCTGAGCTTTCCCCAGCACCCACCTGTCGGCACACGTGTCTGCCCAAGCCCTGGAATTCTTGCGATTCTCCCAACCACCATGAGCCAGCATCCCTTCCCGAGTGGTCCTCCCCCAGGTGCATGGATTCCCAACACGTCACTCAATCTATGGCGGGAACTCAGGCAACGTGGCCCCAAACGGCTCTTGACGAGGGAAGCAAAACTCAACGGAACACCCAAAACAGAGCAACCAAGGACACAGAGAATCCCCTTCCTCCATAGTGACGTGAGATGTCTTTGGGGCGCGTTGCATTCTTTCAGCCCCAAACAAAACAAAACAAAATGCATCCTCCACCAACAGAGAGATTGGTAACAGCAGGTGGACTCCTTGTTAAAGAACCTCTGCATATTTCAAACGCCAACTCGTATTTCACCGCCCGAGGACAGAATTCCAAGATGGTCCATTGCATCCTTCCCAATGCTTCCAGAAGGCGTCTCAGTACTCAGGACTCACCTGCATCGTTGTCAGAGCTGCCAGGCTGGGGACGTGGCAGTGGCTTTGGCCTTGGATAGATATCTGTTGGAAAACACCAAGGTGATGTTAGGAAAAGAATGACATCTTCCCGCAATGAACCATTCACACAATACAAAAGGCCGAAATACAACGTGACATCCCGGCTTATTTATATTTGCTGTTTATCGCCTTCACAGAACCTCTGGTACTCAACATCTCCAAAGCTTTAAACACTGTGTTGACCTTGGCGCCCAGAACCTCCTCCTTTGGTTCTGAAAGCAAGAAGTTCACGGATTCCTGAAAAGAATCTGGCAGACGCTGCCCTGTGAATGTTCCAATGTTTAGCATTATCGCAAACATCACGTTGTTTGCAAAAACCCATCATCAGTACTAGGACAGAAGCGTCTCACGGTTTTGATGACGTGTTACCCTTCCTGCTGTGCGTGTGTACGTTCCCTCACTGGAGTTAATCTTAACTTTTGTCACAAATGCCCTTAATCTGCCCTTCAAACTTAGCCCAAGCTTCCTGCCCCAGAGCCTTGGCACAAAACACTGTCTCTGCCAGGATCTCCCATTGCACCTGCAGAGCCTTTCTTGCACAGCGGAATGTTCCAGAACACCCTGTATTCAAGGGACTGCTCACCACTGCCTTCAATGACTCACCTTTCTTCTCAAGAGACACACACAGGACCTGGGTGAGCCAGAGGGCAAGCGTGAAATTTAAGGAGAGCTTCTACTCCTGTATTGCTGTTTCCATACTTAAGTTCTAATCAAGTTCTTTCCCCTCTTCGTTTGCTGTGTGTGTTGAGTTTGCTGCGTCCCTGTTTTTACACGTTTTATCATTTCATTATGAATCGTTCCAAATGGGTTAGGCAGAAAGTATACTCACTGAGTCTCATCAGTGTTCCAAAACCCCTTAATCAAGACGTGTTCCCCAATACACAATAAACCATCAGCAGAACTAGCTTCTAAGGGACAGTCAGGCTGATACCAAAAGCCATATAACTCATATGAAATATAAGTTCATTATTTGGGGGGCACCATTTTAAAGGCATCTCCCCACTGGGTTTTAGCAGAGCTTGAAAACAAAGGCCAGAAAGCAACCTTCCTCTCATTTGGAATGTGTCAGCTGCTGGAACCCTGAGTCACAGAGGGACCCCTCCCAAGCATGAGGCTTGCTACCCACGCCCTGGGGTGGATGAGTCACCCTGGTCCTGGTGACTCATCCTACAGGATGGCCAGCATCCAACATTCTCTGGACCCCGTAGGAGGGAAGCCCATGGGAGTAGTTTAACCCGAGATCCCCAAATAGACTGTAGCAAGAAACACTCCCCAGGAGGGATTTCCATCTGCACCCTGTAGAACAACAGCGCTCCACTGGACAATAGTTTGTTGAAAAGGCTGGGAGGAATTTTTACAAGAAAGGAATGGATGGAGCTGGGATGTTAAAATTGGAGGGGAAAAAAAAACAAAGGGGATGAAAGCGAGCAGGGCCCTGTGGAGCTCCTGGGCACAAAAGCTTTCCTGTGTCCCCCGTTTCTTGATTACAGGAAATAGCCTTCATTCAGCCCCCATGACCTTCCCTGAATTCCAACAGGGCAGATTCAAGCAGTTGCTAATCAGGGAAGGGAGGGGATGCAGAGACAAGGGAGGAACAGTGAAGAAACAATGGTGCAGCCTGGGGGCAGGTCCTGGTTCCCCCTCAAGGGATACACATGACAATACTGTTTGTCAGATATTGAAAACCCCAACAAATGGACGATGTTAACTACTTGATAAGGCATTCTTCATTCCAAAGAGAAGGCCACAGTTTGATAACCTCTGAGAAGCACAGAAGCCATCAGGAGACCACCTGAGCCCAGGTGACGTCTGGACTGTGAAGGAGTGCAGGCCCTGCAGGCACCCTGGTCCTTCTCAGCAGCCCCACCCTTTAAACCACTGCTATAAAACTCCTCACCGAATCCCACCCCAGGTAGGGACAGTTTTTTTTTTTCTTTTTTGCGGTATGCGGGCCTGTCACTGTTGTGGCCTCTCCCGTTGCGGAGCACAGGCTCCGGACGCGCAGGCTCAGCGGCCATGGCTCACGGGCCCAGCCGCTCCGCGGCATGTGGGATCTTCCCAGACGGGGGCACGAACCCGTGTCCCCTGCATCGGCAGGCGGACTCTCAACCAGTGCGCCACCAGGGAAGCCCAGGGACACAGTTATGAGGGCAGGAGCCCGCTGTGTCCCCCTTTGCCGGGCAAAGCAACGAAGCTATTCTTTTCTACTTCACCTGAAACTCTGTCTCTGAGATTCAATTTGGCACCGGTGTACAGAGGCCAAGTTTCCGTATCAAGGATGACAAAGTAGTGACGTAAGCGTCCATTAACTAACGCAGTTAGTGGCCTGGGTTGCTTTGCAATTAGGTAACAGCTTCGTAGAACCTTACGTCTTACTTTTCATGACATCTCCCTCACCATGGCCATCACCACCGCCGAGGAGATGAATTTCCACCCATCTCAAGGCCACACCAAGCTTCCAGGAAGCTTCCGCAAGCTCTCAACTTGGCCAGTGTCACTGGTCACCTCTACCCGGTCAGCTTTTAGGTCTTTAGGGTTTTTGAATTGCTGAGGACTTTATGGGCTATTGGCTAATATTACCCCCCTCCTGCCCCCCCCTTTTTTTAAAAAAAGTGATCTATAGGCGCAGTGTCTGCCAAGCTTTTAAAACAAAGGAGAAACTGAAGATAAATGACCTAAAACGCACAGTGCAAGGGAACTTATTAGGAACCACGGAAACAGCTAGAGGAAGACTCGTCCTCCAGCCTGATTGAAATTCCAGTACAATAACACACAACGTCCCCAAATGCTCAGTATTCTCCAAGTGTCTGAGCAACGAGGAAATAAAATAATGCAAACTGCTCCCCCCGCCCCCGTAAAAGCTGAGTTGGTTCTTACTTCAGAAGCAGTCAGATGAAAACTCATAGTTAAAAAAAAAAAAAAAAAAGAGGCACCTTTCATCAAACTTGCTTTGAAATGAATGAACTTTCTTACTTCCACTGTTGTCGGGATTTCCGGGCTGTGGCTGGTGGGGAGGCGTCGGCTTTGGGTAGATATCTGTGGGGAAGACAACACTGCATGTTTAGAAGAGAAGAATGTCCTTCCGTCAGTAGCAGCCTATAAAATAAGAACTAGATCTTGTATTTTATTCACAGTTGATGCTCACAGATCATTTAGCCGCTAGAAGGAAAACCTCAGAACGTAGAACTTAAAGAAAAAACTGCATACACACAGTTACAAAAGTAACTGTGTAGCCTTTACATTGTACGCAAAAAAAAAAAACAAAACCAAAAAACTGTTTATTCCTTGAAGATTATTTTGTGCGACATTTGCTACGTGATGCCCCTTTCCTCTGGTATCTGCCTCCAAACCTTTACGCAAACATTTACTTTCACTTTGTTTAATAGCATATAACTGATTCAAAAGTGCTTTAAGCCCTGTCTTTTAACATAGTCATTAAATCGTTTTACATCTACAGTAATTAATGTTACGTTATTCCTACTATTTTATTTTTTTTTCCTTTCTTTTCTTTTTTAAAATTTCTGGACCTCTACTTAGTTAATCAAGTTTGCTTTATTCTTCATTCAATCAAGTTTATTTTATTCTTCATTTAATCAAGCTGATTCTTCATTTTTCTCTAGTTAATCAAGTTTATTCTTCATTCAATCAACTTTATCATTCTTTTCATCAACTTTATTCTTAATTTTTCTCTCCTGGACCAATGTAGGAATTATACACGATCAACCTAAGTGTGCGTGTTTCTGTTGAAATCCTTGTTTTCAGTTCATTTGGGTCTATACCCAGGAGTAGAACTGTTGCGTCATAGGGAAATTCTATACGTAGCTTTCTGAGCAGCTGCCAGACGGTTTTCCGCTGAGGCTGCACCATTTTCTATCCCCACCAGCAATGCACGAAGGCTCCAATGTCTCCACACCCTCACCGACACTTGGTATCGCCCACATTTTGATTCTAGCAGTCCTAGTAGGAATGATGTCTCACTGTGATTTTGATTTCCAGTTCCCCAAGGACTAGGCTTTGCTTTAAACACCTGCCCCTCTTTCACACACTCCACGTCCCTAGAAACACCTTCAAAAACCTCATCTCAGGGGCACAGCCTCATTTCTGTGCAGCCAGGTAGTCCCTCACCTGAGCTCGGCTCCTTGGTGGGCTCTGTGGACAGAGAGAACATACATTCAGTATGCATCGAGGATTTACGTGCAGCTCCAAGAAAGAATCGTTAACGCCCTAATAAACAATGAGAATTTCAAGGCGCTAACACAGACATGATATGAACACAAATTCCATTCTGTATTCGGGGGTGGGGGGGAGAACAAAAGCATCTTTAAAACCCACGCCCACGGAGCTATGCACAGGTCCCGCTGGGGGAGCAAAACTTTCTTGGGGTGGTCAGCTCAGCTCCTTAGGAAGTAAGTTTCATCCGAGCCTTGCAGGAGGTGAGGTAGCGAGATTTGGGACGCCAGCAGGAGGACCGACTGAGCAAAGAGCATCGAGGGTAGAGGGCGCAGAGCTGGTGCCCCACAAACGTGCAAGGTGACTACATGCCTGCAGAGCAGAGGTAGGGCGGGTGAAGGCAGATCTGGAGAGAAGCTTCCCCCGATTCCAGGACGACGCTTCTCTCACTTTCTTGCCCGTGTTTCTTCACGTGACAGAAGTTTGCGGAGTGCCTGTTGTTGCCAGGGGTGCGTAAACGCGGTGGTCCACAGCTTCCCAGGTGGTTTCGGTTCCCTGAGGTCAGCACTCATGGACGGGGCATCAGGTGCAGAGTACCTGTCTGCCAGGCTCAGTGAGTCTGGGGGTGCAGTGTGGGTGGGCAGACAGGGGCAGGAGGAAGAGGTTGGGGGAAGGTGCTCGGAGGGGTGGCACCTGACAAGGGTGAGGGAGGTTGGAACTGCCGGGTGCACAGTGGACAGGGTCCTTCCTCTCTGCAGGAAGCCCTCTCTCATTGAGCATTGTGGGTTCAAGGTCCATCCACGTGGTAGCCTGGGTCAGAGCTCCACTCCTTTTCATGGCTGGGTCACATTCCACTGTGTGCATGGACCCCAGGCTGTTTCTCCATCCATCCGTCCATGGACATTTGGGTGGCTTCTGCCTTTTGGCGATGATGAGTTACGCCGCTGTAAACACGTATGCGTCTGAGTCTCTCCTTTCAATCCTTCCCTTTTTCTAGGAGGGGAACTGCCAGTTCACCGATTGATGATGTTTTTTAATCGATAAAACGCCTCCGGTGATTCTGCACCACAGCCCTCAGCTGCGTGTGCCCTACCCTGGGCGTGCTCCTTCTTTATCCATCCCAGACCCTGTGCCGACCACCCAGGCTGAATGTGGGGGGGTACCTCCCAATGCCCCGCAGTGTGGCTGCAACCACTGGCCCTCCTATAACCCTGACCTCGCAGCCCGTCCACTCTGGGAAGGACTGAGCCCTTCACCATTGCAGTCAGATGGGGGAAGCAGTGTGTCAGCTTTGATCTGCATCACTAGGCTTGTCTGGTGCTCTGACAATAATCTCATATCTGCTCTGTCACGGTTACCACTAGCAAAAGCCTCAGTTAGTGGGGAAAATTGGGGAGGGAGCAGGTCTTGCCTCCATTATTTTGTTCTTTCTAGTTCTTACATGTCTGCAATTTTTCTGATTACAAAATAATACATAGTAAAAATTCCAACATATCAGAAATGTAAAAACTTAGATAATGAATATCTTTCAAAATGCCATTCTCTAGAGAAGAAATATTGTTAAAATTTTATGATTCCTAAGGTGTATTTTCATTTTAAAAAGCAGCTCCTTTGAGAGTACTAAGTGTCGCCCCCTGGCTCATAAGTGGAGAAGTGGTGACAGGCTGCTATTGGAGGCCACACTGTCCCCTCGTTCTCAAGCTTCTTTTTTTTTGGCGGTACGCGGGCCTCTCACTGCTGCGGCCTCTCCCGTTGCGGAGCACAGGCTCCGGACGCGCAGGCTCAGCGGCCATGGCTCATGGGCCCAGATGCTCTGCGGCATGTGGGATCCTCCCGGACCGGGGCACGAACCCGTGTCCCCTGCATCGGCAGGCGGACTCTCAACCACTGCGCCACCAGGGAAGCCCTGGTTGTCATCCTTATTTAAGTTGAGTGGGTCTGGTGATCACGTCCCTTCTTTACTTCTCGGAAAATCCACCGTAATTGATGTGCGATGAGGGACCGGGGGTTCTCCTGATGACAGAAGAAGCTGGTTTTTCTGAGTAGACAAGCACTGATGTTCCTTCCCACTGTGCCTGCAGGTCACAACCTTTCCTTCCTCCCCAAGCCCCCAGGTCTGAACGCTCCTGCCACCCAGCTTGACTGTGGGCCTTAATCCAGACCTTCCTCCCGGGCCCAGGAGATGCACAGTCAGCCTTTCCGCTGGCAAGAAGGTCCAGCTGACCTCAAGGGTAGTGGCCACACACAGGTGGGGTGTAGGGGGGTCTTCCAAGTCGCACATGCCCCGCGGGTAGAGGTGAACCACATTTAAGAGAAGGAAAACCCTCCAGGGTATGCACGGACCCCTGGCTTGGGGAGCCCAGACCTACCAAGACATAAGACAGAGCCCCACAGCTAAGGCCGGATGTGAAGGTCCATCTCCCGGGGCTTGTGATCTTGGGTGAAACACAGAGCTCTCACTGCCTGGAATTCGGAATCCCCGCCACACCCAGCCCCGAGGCACCACAGAGCTGACACAGGCTGCGAAGCATAGCATCTCCTAGAGAAAGACGGGCACTTACCGGGGTCATCGAGGGCGTCGGCCAAATCAAAGTCACCTTGACCTGTGGGGAGACATAGGGCGCTAGGTCACACCACAACGGGACCGTCGGGGCCCCCTTACACCTGTCTCCACCCCCTTGGCCCCACCTGCCCAGACATCCCCCCTGGTGCAAAGGTCAAGCCCAGCACCCACCGTGAGGTCAGCGGAAGACCAAAGTCCCCTTCTCTCTCTCCACTTCCCCTGTGGTGTGTTTGTCAAGCCAACATCTTGGCTCTCCTGGCAGGCTGTGCCCCTCACCAAAGACGCCTCTGAAGGAAGATGACGGCACCCCCGTCTTTTTTATTTTATTATTATTGAAGTATAGTTAAGCTACAATATAGCGTTAGTTTCTGCTGTACGCGAAAGTGATTCAGTTATACATATATATATTTTTTCAGATTCTTTTCCCTTATAGGTTATTACAAGATATTGAATTCAGTTCCCTGTGCTGTACAGTAGGTCCTTGCTAATTATCTATTTTATATACAATAGTTGACATCTGCTAATTCCAAACTCCTAATTTATTCTCCCCCTGCTTTCCCCTTTGGTAACCATAAGTTTGTTTGCTATGTCTGAGTCTGTTTCTGTTGTGTAAGTAAGTTCATTTGTATTATTTTTTACATTCCACGTATAAGTGATACCGTATGGTATTTGTCTTTCTGTCTGACTTATTTCACTTAGTATGATCATTTCTAGATCCATCCATGTTGCTGCCAATGGCATCCCCATCTTTTTTTTTAATTAAAAATATTTTTTTAGGGGCTTACCTGGTGGCGCAGTGGTTGAGAGTCCGCCTGCCGATGCAGGGGACACGGGTTTGTGCCCCGGTCCGGGAGGATCCCACATGCCGCAGAGCGGCTGGGCCTGTGAGTCATGGCCGCTGGGCCTGCGCGTCCAGAGCCTGTGCTCTGCAACGGGAGAGGCCACAGCAGTGAGAAGCCCGCGTACCGCAAAAAAAAAAAAGGAAAAAAAAAAATTTTTTTTTTAAATTATTTTTTTGGCTGCGCCGGGTCTTTGTTGTTGCGTGCGGACTTTTCTCTAGCTGCAGCGAGCGGGGGCTACTCTTTGCTGCGGTGCGTGGGCTTCTCATTGCAGTGGCTTCTCTTGTTGCGGAGCATGGGCTCTAGGCACGCAGGCTCAGTAGTTGTGGCACGTGGGCTCAGTAGTTGTGGCTCGTGGGCTCTGGAGCGCAGGCTCAGTAGTTGTGGCGCACGGGCTTCGTTGCTCTGCGGCATGTGGGATCTTCCCAGACCAGGGCTCGAACCCGTGTCCCCTGCATTGGCAGGCTGATTCTTAACCACTGCACCACCAGGGAAGTTCCTGGTATCCCCGTCTTAAACAGGAGGGAGATGCTCCTAGGATCTCAGCTGCCTCGAGCAAAACACATAGACGTCTTGGAAAGCCAAAGAACCCGTGCATTCTGCAAACATTTACGAACTGCGAATTTGATCCAGGCACACTGTTACCCAATGGGGACGGGACCTTCAACGACACTAGCCCTGCTTCCTGGTTCTTTAGGGGAGAGAGACCCGTGAATATCCCTAAAGGTGGGGACAGGGTGCAGCGGGGACCACAAGGCAGCAGGGGCAATTGCACGTCTTGTGTGAGCCGACCTGGAGGTCTGCCTGGAGGAGGTGACACGTGAGCCGTGTGGAAGATAGTGGTTTACGCACCGAGAGACACTCTGACCCCAGTTTACACCTCAGGCGATGCCTTCGGGAAATGCGGTATGGTGGCGGCTCTGTGGCTGGAACTGTGGATATATTCCTTTATGGCTAAGACAGGATGCATGTTGGACTGAGGCCCAGAATCGCGCTGCCCTTGCCTCTCCGTGACACCCCCGCATGCATTTCACAAACATCTCAACCCCGGCTCCCTCCCAGTGTTCGGGGGCCCAGAAATTTTGTTGGCGTGCGAGTTTCAGACTTGCTAAAAATACTATGAGGAAGCCTAGGGTCTGGAGAGAAGCGGAGGCTGGATTTCAGTTTTCTTACAAGCTCAACTCGGAGAAACTTGGGTGGATAACAAGTGAGTCGGGGGGACTGGCACCGACTGCTCACGGGTACGGGGTTCCTTCTGGGGGTGATAAGAACATTCTGGCATTCCACGGTGGTGATGGTTGTACAACATAGTGAGCATGCTAAACAAAAATGTCTGCACTATTCACTTTCAAAGCGTTCACAGGGTGACTCTGATGCATGTGAATTTTATCTCAAAAAAAAAACACAAAACCTTTTTAACGAGCTGAGTGTTCCTTTCCTGCCAGTTTAAGGGCTTCTTCCCACACACATCCCACCCATCACCTTCGCCGCCTCTAAAACTAGAGAAGCCCAATCAGAAAACCTCTGTGCTCCTGACCAACGTGTATCTCATCTTTGGCTGATAAAAAAGAGCTTTTGAAAAGAGCTCTGTTGAGACAGAATCCATAGATTATACGATTCACCCCTTTAGAGCAGGCAATCCAGTGGCATTTAGTATGTTTATAATGAATGCTAGGCAACCACCACTGCTATCTGGTTCCAGAACATGTTCATCCCCCAAAAGAGACCCCGTCTGCATTAAGACTCACTCCCTATCTGCCCTGCCCAGCCCCTGACACCACAGACCCACCCTCTGCCTCTGTGGACTGGCTTGCTCTGGACTCGCACACGGTGTGTCCTTCTGTGTCTGGCTTCTCTCACCGAGCACCCCGTGTTCAAGGTCCATCCACGTGCTCAAGCATCTCTGCGTGAAATCCTAAATCTGTACGGGGCAGGGTTTCTTCAGGCAAAGACACTGCTTTCAGCCCCCATGACCTGCTTCCCGCTTTGTCGCTCTGGCCGGCGCAGGTGGGGGCCTGGAGGCGCCCCCCTGTGCCCCCGCTGCCCCGCACCAGCCCTGCCTCGAACACGTCACTGGGGACCTATTAGGATGATCAACCATCTATGAGCACCTACTACGTACCAAGTCCCACTGCAAGCGTCTGCAGGTCACCCGAGCATCCCTCTTTCCGCCCACGAGGGGCCGTCAGTGTTACGACCATGCCCTTGTCCCAGCCGAGGGGCCTGAGTTTCCAGGAGCCTAAGGGCAATGTCAGGTTTTGCACCCAGACCCTCCAGGAGCCCCAGTCCCAGCCCCTGTGCCTGGAAGGGGGCTGGCGGGAAGCGGGGGAGGGGGGGACACCGTTTTCCTAGACCCAGGGCGTCCTAGGCTCCCCGAGTCTGCCTGGAGGTCGTTTTGACCTGTCCAGCCTGGGGTCAGGGAAGCCCTTGGCCTGGCCCGGCTGGGATGCCATGGGGGCAGCTTCTGGGGCTGCTTGTCAAGGGAACCGGGACCCTGGTGCGTGGACGCCCCCAGGCAGGGGTTTCCGGAGCTGGGACCGGCCCAGGCACTGGACAGCAGAGGAGCTGAGGTCAGAGGGCACCCACCGGCAGCCTCACGGTCCGGACTGGAGGCCGGGGCTCAGTGCGTTTAGAGGCCAAACCCCGGAGAGCCGTCTCTAACACAGGGAGGTCCCGCATCTGTCCTCATCGCCCCTCTCTTTGGCCAGGGTCTGTGTCCCTCCAGCTTCTGCCAGGTCCTCTTGTGGGGACAAGCTGGCCACTCTCTGCTCTGGGTCATTGTGCAGGGGCTGGGTGACAGGAATCAGCGTCAGCTTTGGGGACTCTGAAGACACATTCCTTCCAGGGTTGCCAGTGGGGCTGTGGCTGACCCTCCCTCCAGTTTGAAAGGACAGATACCGGTGCAGGGCCCCCAGTGCCCTCAGCTACAAGGGCAGCTCCGGAATTTGCATTCTAATCGCCAGTTGACAGTTTACAGATAACTCTCACCAGGCTCTTCCCAGGAGTTCCAGGCGTCCCGTGAAGAAGCACCTACACAGTGTCCTCCAACCTGAGCGTCAGGCCACTCCCTGTTCTGAGATGATCAAAGCCTCTGTTATCTGTCTCCTCCTGACCTCTCCCGAATCCATCCCACAACCAACCAACGGGGCTGGGCGGGAGCTGTTTTCCAAAAGGGCCTTGGGTCGTCTCTGGGGATGTGGTAGCCTTGCCGGCTGGCCTTCTTGCAGCCGGAAGCCAGGGAGCGCTGTCTGGGGCTTTGAGAACAGCCAAGTCCCTCCACCCTGCCCTAACCCCATTCTGTGTCCCCTTCTCTTTCCAGCAGCCTCCTTCCGTTTGGAGATGCTTCTGACGAGGAGAGGTCGCGGAGGAAGCTGTCCCTAGCTGTGGCGCTACTGGGAGGCCCATGGGCGTGACTCATGCACAGAGCCGGCGGACCGCACCCAGTATGAGGCGCTCCCCTACCCTGGGCTTGGCGACGATCCAGTCCTGCAGGCCAGTGGTTTAGCCCCAGAGGGGCTGCAGCCAAGACCCTCCCCATGTGCTTCAAATAGTAGCCCCACCGGGTGCAGCCCTGCCAGGGACATCACTCAGGTGGCCGACGCTGATTCAGAGGTTCAGCCTCAGTGGAGCTGGGGGGCAGGGGGGATGCAGCTCCCCAGGGCAACTACTTCCACTAGCTTTTTTTTTTTTTTTTTTCAATCGGAGCCTAAGACGGGGCTGGGAACCTAAGACGTGTTTCTGATCTGCTTAGTTTAGCTGGCTCGGCGGTTTCTAATCGATCCCACATGTTCTGGGCTCTGTAAACACCGAGGGGAAAGGAGCCACGTGGGGTCTGCGATCATAAGGCTGGTCACCCATTGCTGACGTCCTGGAGATGGGCGTTGAAAATGGCTCATGCTGCTGGGTGGGAGGTCTTAGCACCATACCCAAGAACCCCTACCCTCCAAAAACAAAGCTACTTAGGAGGGATTTTGAGACGAAACCACCTGAGTGGCACTTGGAGGAATTCTCTCGTTATCTCTAGTAACCGATCCCCTCCCTCCCCAGTCAAATTCTACCCCAGCAAGATTCTAAGATGCTTTGTATCAGAGTTTGCTTCCCTCAACTTCTCAGACCCGCAAGCCTACAGGACAAAGGGAAGTTTTGCAAAGGGCAGAGCTGTGGGAATAATCATGACACGGTGCTGAGGATGATATCATGCACTAGACAAAACCCACCACTCCTCCACGGCGACCACGATAGAGGCACATGTCCCAGTTCCCACTAACGAACCCTGAATTATTCCCTCTGAAGGAGAAAACCAGCCCCAGGCTAGCTCTGAGAAGAGGGGGGAAAACTGCTTACTATCTAAAGCCCTGGCACCAAGTACAGCGTTAGCAGCAGAATTTATAGGTGCTGCATTTAATTACCTTTGAGTGGGTCCATCAGGGGATAAGAATCCCACCCCTCACAGGCAGGCAGGATCTTAGATTTTATTATTCCGGCCAGTGTCGGGAACGGCTGCCCTTCAAGACAATTGCTTTCCATTCCTTTACATAGGAATTTACAGGCTTCATCTGAAGCGCGGGTTAATTTAAGCCAGTCCTTCCGGGGACCAGCAGATTAAGCCACTTTGCACGCCATAAATCGGTAGGACTTTCTTGTCCTTGAGGGATTTCACCCAGCTGAAGCAGGGCTCCCAGGGAACAAAGCCCGACTTCCTTTAGGCAAACTTAAGGTGCCCCTTTTGACTCTGGCTCAATTGTCTTTGAAAAATACTAAACTTCAGGGGACTTCCCTGGTGGTCCAGTGGTAAGGAATCCGCCTTCCAATGCAGGGGACAAGGGTTCGATCCCTGGCCTGGCAACTAAGCTCCCGATGCGCGCTGCAACTACCGAGCCCTCACGCCTCAACTAGAGCCTGCGTGCCGCAAGCTACGGAGCCTGCGCTCTAGGGCCCGCGAGCCACAACTACTGAAGCCTGCGCGCCTAGAGCCCATGCTCTGCAGCAAGAGAAGCCACCGCAATGAGAAGCCCGCGCACCGCAATGAAGAGCAGCCCCCACTCGCCTCAACTAGAGAAAAGCCCGCATGCAGCAACAAAGATCCAATGCAGCCAAAACTAAATAAATAAAATAAATTTATAAAAATAAAAAAATAAAGTCTACGGGAGGAAGTGCGTGGGTTATATGCAAATATGACATCATTTTATATAAGGGACTTGAGCATCCATGGATTTTGGTGTCCCAGGGGGTCCTGGAACTAATCCCCCTCAAATACCAAGGGATGCCGGTACTTTTTTAGTCTGTAGGTAGAAAAGGAGCTCTGTTTAAGCACACACAAATGTTTAGTCTTGTCTGATAAGAGAAGAAGATACAATACATGTAGAAGGGGATTTCAGAGCCACTGTATAATATAGATACAGGAAAATGGTAATGTATACCCAGGATACAATAGATATACAGGAAAAAAGGGAATATAAGGATATATATATATATATATATATATATATACAAAATCTAGAGTTATACCTGTATTATAGCTAGCTAGCTAGATGATAGATAGTTGATAGATGTTAGATAGTTGATAGATACGTAGGCAGAAGCTAGCTAGCTAGGTAGATAGATAGGTAGGTAGATAGGTAGGTAGGTAGGTAGATAGGTAGATTTTTTCCTCAACAAACCAAACAGGACAAGCAGTCCCTGGAGTTTCCATTTCTGCTTCTGTCAGCTTTTCGAAGACCTGACTTGGTCTCCTGGTCCTTCAAGTGCATCCAGGTTTGATAGCGAAAGGTAATTCAATACACTGGAAATCTGACACCGCCGAATTGTAAACCCCTATGCCTCAGGACTATAATCAAATTCTTATTTTATCTTATACACACAGTTTAGTCATTATAAGAACGGTTAAGTAACGTTCACCATAGTGATAGTCTGCTCTTCCGGAGCGTTGGTAACAAGCATCTTGACAGCCTTGCAGGAAGTGTTTGGGGACCTCGTGAATTCGCTCACGCCGACAGCTGCTGGTGGTTTGGGGTGTGAGGGGGTGGTCCATGCATTTAACAAACTACCCCGGTCTCGGGCCAGCTGCACAACGTCTTCACACCGACGCACCCTGACCCAGACCTCATTACCTTTGCCGTCCCTCCTCGCACCTCTCCTGCCTGTGCATGTTCCCAGCAATGTGACCTCAGACAAATGATGGAACACCTCTGTGCCTCCGTGTACCCATCTATAAGAGGGCATCAAAAAAAAAGGGCATCAAGGGACTCCCCTGGCAGTCCAGTGGTTAAGACTCTGTGCTTCCAATGCAGGGATGCAGGGGACACGGGTTCAATCCCTGGTCAGGGAACTAAGATCCCACATGCTGTGCGGCATGGCCAAAAATAAAATAAAATAATATCATCTTCAAAAAAAAAAAAAAAGTTCCGTGTTAGATCCAAAAAGGAAACATATTTAAAAAGAAAGAAAGAAAAAGTGCACCAAGCCTGGCAGCCCCAGCCCAAGTTCAAGAATGAACTTGATTAACACCCGCAGAGCCTGTCGCAAGTCACGCCCTCGTCAAAAGAACGTAACCTGGGCATCCTCGGAAGCACTCAGCTAACGTCAGCCAGGGCCGGCTCCTGCATTTTCTTCTCTTCTGAAGAACAGCGGTTAAATCCACAACAAGTTTCCCCAGCACATACGATGAGCCACGTGATGCGCTGAAGGAATCTGACATCCCATTATCCCCAAAGGAGCAACCCGACCGTGCCTGGGAGGAGGCTGAGTTGCCTGAGCCCGCAGGTAAACCCACAGTTCCTACTGTGTGCACAGCAGTAGGAATAAACGCTCAGACAGGTTTTGCTGGCTCGGCTTCTGGGCGGGTCTGTGTAGAATCAGAGCTCTGCTCTCTTGCTCTTCTCAGCCCTGGTGCCAGTTCAGGGGCTAACATCTCCCTGCCAACACAAGCGCCTGGACTGGGTTTCTGCGTGACCCACGTGCCGGGGGGCACGATGTGCAGACAGCAAGGATTCCCGGAAGGGTCTCGGGGAAGATTCTGGGCTCTGGGTGCCAGGATGTCTCACAAAACCACATCTGCCCCTAAACAACCATCCTCAAACAGGATAAACAGGAAATGTCACAAGAGTGCCATCCAGATGAAATCCTTTCAATTCCTAACCTACAACACTTCTCACTCTTAAATCCTGCCTGGGCCTCCACCTCCTAAAATTCAAATGAGGACCAAAGGAGCTTATCCAATTGCGGTTAAATCCTACATGTCATGGGTAAATAATAGTTCCCAAACTAGGTCCCTCCCCACCTCTGCTCCCCGACAAACCAAAATCCTGGCATCACCAGAAGAACCTGTATTGAAGTTTGGGGCGTAAACAATTCAGATGCTTTTAATTTGCCAACAGGAGGGGTGACATTGGTGAGAAATGTCTAAAAACCTGAACGGAGGCTGCCCTTCCAGCAAACCCAATCTTGGGTGATCAGTCCCACAGAACCAAGCCGGGTCTCAGTTCCATTGTCCCCATCCAGAAACGCAGCACTGATTCTTTTAAATCGAAAACAAGGAATTGAAAAATCCCAACACGCCCCAGGAACACGGGTCACTTTTTTCCGTGTGTGACACACAGAGATCAAAAGCAGACAACAAAAACAGTTCGCGTCTAAGTACTGAGTCCACATCCTACACTTCTGGATCCAATTCCCAGACCCTGAATTGGTACCCGGCCCCTTTTTCTCCTCTCAAAGCCATCATAATTGGTCTGTTTTTTTTTGTTTTTCTACAATCTGGCACCTTAGAGCCATTTCCTGAGTGGAAGTGGTTTGGGGTGGAGTTTTTGTGTTTTTTTTTTTTAAGCAGCCAGATAGAAACGCACACCCACGCAGCTCTCCCCAGAGCAAACCCTCCCTTACCTCGGATGTGCATCAGAGAGCACAGGAGCGTGAGGTAGAAGAGGCCCCACCAGGGCTCCATCCTCGGTTTCCGTTCAGGTGAACCTTCAGGGCGCGCGCTGGGCGATCCGGCCACCCCACCCTTGCTGGACGGATGTGCTGACTTCTGCTTCCCAGTTTGCAAGGGAAACAGGCAGTCTCCAAGCAGAAAGGATGAACCAAACTTGAGTGCCTCTGCCAGAATCCGAAGGGCTGGGCGTTCCGTCCCAAACGGCACGGCCCGGAGCCCGTGAGGCGTGTGCCTGTATATGCTGAAGGGCGTCCTGGGGAGCCCGCCTCCCCTGCGCTACGCTGCCAACCAGCCTCAGGATGCTGGGGAAACAGGTGGCTGCCCCGCACCAATGGGTGCTCTGGGTCTGCTTCCCGCGGGCATGGGAGATGCACCAGCACCAAAGGCGCCAACCCTGGGTGCAGGCAGGACACTCCCTGCCCGGGGTCCTTCCCCAGAACCCTCCTGTAGGGCAACGCCAACACCAGACCCAGCAGAGCGCCAAGGCAACGATCAGAGTATAGACTCATGTTTAATCTCTGCTTCTACGACTTGAAGACCCTGTACCTTTAGAGTCGCGCTGCATCCGTGGACCTCAGCTTCTTTGTAGGTGGCCGGGACAGTCAGTCTGGCTGGGGATGCTGGGGCCAGAGAAGCGAATTTCACCTGGCCCTCTCTCCGCGTTTTCCACCTGAGCTGTGTAAGAAGTGGTTGGATATAGGCTTCTAGAAAATAACCCCTCTGTGTGGAGGGAAGCATTTTGTTTCCAATTGCATACACCTGAGTTACACCTTTCAGATAGAAATTATATTATATGCGATATATATATTATTTATATGTAACTATAAATTTTACATACATCTCGGTATATATATTACAGTACAATCTGATGCAAACTATTATATACAGAATGGTTCAACAACAAGGTCCTACTGTACAGCACACGGAACTATAGTCAATACCCTGTGATACACTGTCACAGAAAAGAATACGAAAAAGAATGTATACATGGATAACCGAGTCACTTTCCTGTACAGCAGAAATTAAACACAACATTGTAAATCAATGATACTTCAGTAAAATTTCAAAAAAGAAAAAAAGAACTGGTTGGAAGCACCAGATTTTTTTTATTTTTTAAACTTTTATTGGAGTATAGTAGACTTACAACGTTGTGTTAGTTTCAGGTGTACAGCAAAGTGAATCTGTTATACATATACATATATCCACTTTTTTTTTTTAAGATTCCTTTCCCATATAGACCATTACAGAGTATTGAGTAGAGTTCCCTGTGCTCTACAGTAGGTTCTTTTATTTTTTAATTTTTTTTACATCTTTATTGGAGTATAATTGCTTTACAATGGTGTGTTAGTTTTTGCTGTGTAACAGAGTGAATCAGCTATACATATACGTATATCCTCGTATCTCCTCCCTCTTGCATCTCCCTCCCACCCTCCCTATCCCACCCCTCTAGGTGGTCACAAAGCCCCGAACTGATGTCCCTGTGCTATGCAGCAGTGGAAGCACCAGATTTATAAATTCCAGAGTTTCCAGCTCCACAGTGTGGGACATCAGATGAGCTCGTGCATTCATTCAACAAACATTTGACGCACAGCTGTTTTGAGCCAGAGAGGCAGGCTAGATGCCGGCTGTGTGGAGACAGAGAAAGAAGAGTTGTTTACAAAGAGGAGAGAGTTGCAGTGTAATGTTTGGTAATATGGGGGAGCACACCAAGGCTGGGGGGCTCCTGGGAGGTTCTGCACCCAGCTTGTGTCCTAGAGGCTTCTGGGGAGGGTTGTAGCCGCACACTGATTTGATTTGATTTGATTTTCTCTTCTCTTCTCTTATTTTATTTTATACCAGCATACAGGATCTTAGTTCCCAGACCAGGGGCTGAACCTGCACCTCCTGCCCTAACCACTGGACAGCCAGGGAAGTCCTACCTCACACTGAATTTAAAGGCTGGGTAGAAAGGGGAGGGGAGGGATGGAGAGTGGAGGCTGAGGAAGGGGTGGGGCAAAGGCACATGGTAGAAAGGGGGGACCCAGGGCTTCTGTGGGACCACCTCTAGGGGGTGCTGAGCACATCGCCCAGTGGTGTGGACCAAATGCTTGTGTCCCCCCAACACGTCATCTGTGGAAGCCATAAACGCCAACGGGATGGTGTTAGAGGGTGGTGTCTTTGGGGAGTGATTAGGGTTAGATAAGGCCATGAGGGTGGGGCCCCCAAGATGGGATTAGCGTCCTTGTAAGAAGAGACACCAGACAACTCTCCACCGAGTGAGGACACAGGGAGGAGACGGCCGTCTACATGCCCAGGGGAGAGGCCTCAGGAGGGACCAGCCCTGCCCACACCTGGATCTCAGATTCCAGCCTCCAGGACTCGGAGAGAATATATGTCTCTTCTTTAAAACCACCCAGTTTGTGGTATTTTGTTATGGCAGCAAAATAATTAAAACTCTACTGTTTTTATTATAGCTGTTTTTTCATATTATAACTGGCCACTACCTGCTCCACCACGCCTGACCCCTGCAAGACACAGTTTGAAGTACAAGTATTTTATGTATTCAAGCAAGTGTTACCAACCTTTTTCTGTAAAGGATCCCATAGGACAGAAAAAAATAAAGAAATGCTTCCTGCCCTGGGAGGTCCAGAAATTTAGTGGATGATGTAAACTGCATTTCAAATCAGTGGGAAAACATGGATTATTCAATAAATGGTTTGGGAATAATAGGATTATCCCATGGCGGTTTTTAAAAAACTAAATACCAAGGAATCTCTTCCTCATTCCCTTTACAGAAACACATTCCGAGGGGATCAAATATTTTAATGTAAAAAAACCCCACAGAAGTGTTAGAAGTATGACAGCAAGCCCAGAAACCATTAACTAACTTCACTGTGCAAAAATAATAAAAATGAATGGGGGAAAATATCACTTCAGAGTTAAAAGGTGAAGGATAAAGTGAAAAAGAGTATTTGCTACTTACTTCACAGTCATATCTTTAATATGTAAAGAGTTCCTACAAATCAATAAGGATAGGACCGATAACACATATAAACATAGGCAGAACGCATTCATTTCCCCCAGAAATGGAATGCAAATGGGTCCCCCCTACACAGATTCTCAATCTCACTTGTGTTAAGAGAAATGCAATGTAAACGCAGTTGATTTGATATCATTTTCAACTTACAGATTGGCACCAATCAGAAAGTTTGCATGGCAGTGAGGAAACAGACCTGACATCACTGGGAGCTATCATGAATTTGCACCTCTATGGGGGATGACTGGGCAGTGTCCATAAAAATTAAATATACACATGCTTTTTTTCCTCACAAAGCCAACTTCAGGCACTAATGCAACACACACACTTGCACAAAGCCACAAAAATGTGCTTACAGAGATATTCATTGCAGCATCTTGACAGCAAAAACTTGGTCACAGCTTAAGTGGGTTAATCAAATCCATTATGACCCAGACTTATAACAAATCCTCCACTGGTATTGTCTCCCTATGGCCCTTAAATAAAATCTTTCTGTTGATTTCAAAATCTGTTGGGACTGTGATTTCTTCATATGGGAGCTCCAAAATGATTTTAAAAAGCAATCGTCATGCCAAGTATTTAATGATCCAAGCCACATAATTTAAATTCAATTTTTCAAAAGACAGACCTTTGATAAAATCATGTTTATTTTAATGTGAACATGAAATTAAACCGAGTCTACAACAATGTACATCCACCATCCATAAGAAAAGCCTAGTTGACATATTTCTTAAATGTACACTTATTTATGAATGAGTCGTAATTTCATATCCTTAAAGAAATACCCATCCTTTCACTCTTCTCTTCTTTAATGAGGCATTTATGCTTATAGTATGATTGCAATGCTTATAAAAATGCCAATGTTATTCAGAGTTACAAAAAGACTTTATGCGTTTTTTTCTTATTATGAAGCAAGTCAGTGAGCACAATCTTGACCTCAAAGGCAACCGGTGATGACTCACTGGGGAGAACATGGACGCTCTCTACCTTTGTACCCAGGTGCTCTGAGCCAGTTAGCAAGGGAACCCAAGCATATTGACCAACCTGGCCCTCAGCTCTTGACAACTGGCCGACCCCATCCATGGATGGATGTCATTTATTTGTGTTCCATCCTGTAGAATCCTGAATGTCATGTTCACCACTGTGCACACCAGGTCATAGGTATTTGTTGAATGCAGCAATGAATGGATATGATAAATAGCCAATCCTTTTCTTTTTTTTTTTTCACACCATTTCATATACTCAAAAGTTATCATAGTGTCAGAGATACAACAAGTTAAAGAGCCAGACGACGGTCTCCAGCAATACCTTGAGAAAGAAACTCCAAACGCTTTTAGATAACGCAGTGAGGAGAGGTCACAGAAAGGATACGGGCGTGGAGAGGGGTTGAGTCCTCAACAGCAGGGGGTGGCTCAGATGCCTACCCCTCAAACTACTGGCAGAGTTTCTGAGCTTCAGAAGTGAGAAAGACCCAGCATTCATGACTGATACTCACAGCAGCCCTCTCCCAAGTTAGGTGACTTGTGGAGGCAGCCCACACAGGTGTGCTAACGTCATACCTTTGAACCTGGAGAGGCTGATGTGAAACACACAACAGTTCTTTACACCATCATCCGTGACAAAAGGAAGTCTTCCCAGGAAACCGCCACTGCTCTGGGTTACTATCCTAAGAGCTTTAGACGAGGCAAGCCTGTGCCACTGGAAACTAATATTTCCGTGGAGGGTAGTCTATGGGTGGGGTCCAGCCCATCTGCAACACCAGGGCTTCTGCACTTCCCGAGATGAACACAAAAGTCCACGCAAAGCCCTTCTGTATAAAAGCAAGCATTCTGGGCGCTGTGCAGTGCGTGCGCTGTCCTAAACGGGGGAAATGCTTCTAAAGGTGGAGAAGTCATCGTTTGTTACCGGGAGAAGAGTAGGCATTCCGTTCATTGCAAGATGTTATAAAGAGCGAGCACTTAGCGTGATCGTCTGTCTTACAGCCCCAGAGAAGGGAACAGGGGATCCATCCCACTAGTTTCACAACCTTTTTTAAAAGTCACCCCATGGCAAAACATTAAGTAAAAAGTACTTGGTTTCTAATTTCTTTTTATTAGTTTGGTGTGGGCAAAAAAAAAAAAATCCTAGTAAATGGAAGAACTTTTGAGGAAACCAGCTGAAGGCTTACCTCACTCTATAAAAAGGTCAATGTTGGCAGAGGTTCAGATGCATTCAATCTACAGGCAATTTGTAAACAGCGTGGAGTTTCTGTTTGGGGAACTTCAGTGGGGTTGAATGACGAGGACTTGGTCGGTCAGCCTTTCACAGCACACGGGAAACCCCTCAGGGCCGTGGAGAAGGTGAGTGTAATTCCCCTCTGGAGGCAAAACTCATCACAAGTCAATCTCACCCACCCAGCACGGTGGTGACACACCTCAAGATTCAAACTAGGAATCCCAAGTTGAGCAAAGGCACAGACAAGCCGGGGCTTGTTTCTGGCGGGGCCGCTCTGTCCCTGCAGGCAATCTTTGGAGAGGCTCAGCAGGCCAGCTCGAGATCCTGCTATGAATCACTTGGCTGCCGACCTCCTATTTCTCCAGAAGGGTCTGTTGAACTGCAGAGGACCAAGACACAAGAACAGATTTTACAAGGCATCCCCAGCGGCCCCGACAAGCACGCGAGTACCTGCAGGTGGAAAATTCCAGAAGCGGGTGACTCTATTTCTACAGAAGATAGAAGTGTGCTCAAAACTCGCTCCTGACAGAAAGCAAAAACTAAATCTAACTGGTTAGAAAAAACAATTCAGTAAATTTCATACTACGATGCAACGGTCACTCGTAAAAAACGGACACTTCGGGAAAAGTAGAAAGAAACTAAGAAGAGGCATTCTCTACTAGCGACTTCTCTGAGACGGTAAGAAATGTCTGTAAACTACAAATTTCAGAACAAATAATTCTGTAAATGAGGGTCCACGGCGTTGGTTCATTTACAACAATGCAGGGCTAAGATTTTCGGATCAGTTCATTTCTGTTTTGGAGGTCTCTTTCGCATTTTCTTGTGCTTAAAAAACGATAGCTCATGTTACACATCCTTCCCTTATTTGAAAGAGCAACGAGCTAGACACTTCCTAAAAGTCCATATTTTTAGAATTAAAACTATGTTAACTTTTCACTAAAAACTAATCTGGGGACTTCCCCGGTGGTCCACTGGTTAAGAGTCTGCCTTACAACGCAGAAGGCATGGGTTCAAATCCCTGGTTGGGGAACTAAGATCCTGCATGCCGTGGGGTGTGGCCAAAAACTTAAAAAAAAAAAACCCAAAACTTATGTCAATTCCACAGGCATCGTATGCAATAAATGTTGCCTTTCTTGGGCAAAGGAGTGGGTCTCCACATATACACACAAACGAAAGAAAGAAACACACACAGGTGTATAGACACATAATTTGTGTTTTCCTGCCATTTTCAGAAGTGGTTCTAATCACTGAACGTCCCACCTCTGGCCCTGAGAAGTTTCCATCATTTGCACCACCTCCTGTCCTTGGTCCAATTCTCCACCAGGTTGGGAGGATTCTGTAAAAGTGACCGCAGCACGTGAAAATGCTGTAAAAGGTACATCTCAGAAGATGCAATCCGGCCAGCTGCCGACTCCGGCCATGCGGCAGTGGGGCGACACTTGGAAAACTCTCCTAGCCGACATTTAAAGAGAACTTGAAGCAGACTTAGATCTCATCAGGAGCCTCAAGCCCCGGAAAGTCTGTGTAGCATCTCCCCAGAGAACCCCCTTGAAAACTTCGAGACACAAAGGATCCCATCCAAGAATCTGAGCAGGACGGTGGTGAGAGGACGTAAAACAGACCCGCGGGGGCGCGGGAGGGGGCCACTCGGGGCGCTTCTTACCGGGTGGCTCGGCGTTGGTGCCCTGATGGTTCTCCATGTTCATCTCGCCTTGGTCAGCTGCAAGCAAGAACAAAACGCCCCAGGAGGGTGAATACCAAGACAACGCACCCTGATGGTCACTCTCAAGCTGAACTGGCCTCCCACCTCCTGTCTCCATCCGCTGCCCCCAAGCAGAGGACCGCCCTGGTCATCAGGGCATGAAGGGCACCTCGCGGGGTCTGGTTTCTTCGCTCCCATGCTTTTTCAGTCTATCATTTTATTTCCCAATTTCTACTCCAAAAGTTTTCGAACACACTTACATCAACGCAAAGAGGACCATGCCGCGCCCCGCCGGCCCCCCAGAAACGATCTCCCAGCATACAGTGTGAGGCGAAAGAATTCAAAATGCACGGGCGACTGGGGCGGGGGACAGGACGGGACGACAGGGTTGAGGGCGGGACGGAGTGGGAGACTGGGATGAGCAGAGGATGGACCCACAACAAGGCCCTACTGTAGAGCACAGGGAACTCGATTCGATATCCTGGGATAAGCCATGACGGAAAAGAATATGAAAACGAACATATATGTGTATAACTGAGTCACTGCTGTGCAGCAGAAATTAACACAGCATTGTAAACCAACTATACTTCAGTTAGAAACAAACAAAAACGCAGGAGAGACTCCCAGTCAGAACATGTTTATTTCTTTACTGCATGCTTGGGAAGGGACACGGAAGCACGTATGACGTGAAGAGGACTGAAGTAGCTCACGGGACCCATGACGACCCTTCTCCTATATTCCCGAAGCTTTGATTTTTGCAAAACCGCAATATCTGAGGTTAGCATCATGCGTGAACACCCAACACCACTTTTCATCCCGGTCCCAGAAACACGCATCCCCCTGTCTGTATGAAATGGATTCCGTGAGCCACCACCCTTTCCCCCAACCACGAAAGGAGACCCCAGTCAGAGACCAAAATTCTAAGATGACAAAGAAAGAAAGAGAAACACCCAAAGAGGAGAGAGTTTGAAGAGATCTGTGAAAACACTGCAGGGCCGTCACTGCCAATGTCACGTCTTCTGCTGGCCGGGTAGGAGGCAGGCTCTGAGCACACTCACATTGTAGAGTCAACTATTATGACGAGAAATCCTAAATGTGCTTTAATTTCACATGACAAAGAATCTCCCTACCAAAAGAAAAACAAAGGAAGAAAAAACCCGGTAAAAATATTCTAATGGGTCCCCAGAAACCCTGTATCTAGGTATGTTCAAGGAAAAGAAAAATAGAAATGCCCCTGGGAAATAATAAAGTACAGCCGAACCCAAATCCATCTGGGGCCAAACGTTATTTCCAACAAGTAAAAGACATGTTCAATCCATTATCTGAAGAGACATTTGGGGGGAGGGGGAGGGGATGCCGGCACACCCAGTTTTGATGTTGGTGTCACCAACGCCCAGCATTTGGGGAGAGCCTGAGAGTGGGTGGGTGCTTCGTGGGTGGGGAAAAGGATCGGCCCCCTGGGATCCCGTTTAGCCGGAGCCGTGTGGTCAGGGATGCAGGGTCGGATTCCCCGATGCCAAGCGCCCAACCCAACCCCATGGACCCCTAAGAGGAGACCCGGGCTCCACCAGGTGCATCTTCCCGCTGCAACCTCAACACTTAGAAGGCCAAACACACCACATCTCAAACTCAAAACCAAAGCAACTCACATGCCTTTCTTTTAAGCCAGGAGCCACTTGAGCTATGAAGGCAATTACAGCAATGGCAGCTTTAGGGGTCTCTCTGTGTGCGCGCTGTTTATGTAAACACAGCAGGCACTGGGGGCCAAAGGCAGGCCCCAGAGACCACTGACCGGCAGGGTCTCATCTGTAGTTCACACCCAGGACTTCATTCTTGGGGCACAGAGATTCGATTTAAATGCACCCCTGTGCTAACCGGGACACGGGCTTTATTTCATCAGAACCAAGAAATCTGCAGACGCTTTCTTCAAAGACCCAGACGGCCGGCAAGGTGACCACTGTCAAGGCCATCAAAGTGACCGGTAGAAGATGACCAGGCCCACGGGAGGGGCACGGAGAGCCTCCGTTGCAGGGTTTTTTTTGTTTTTTTTTTTGCGGTACGCGGGCCTCTCACTGTTGTGGCCTTTCCCG